ATATGACATCTTTCATGTGCTAGTTGTAAATGGGTACCCAGTGGGATTAGTGAGTGAGTGAGTTTAGTTTTACGCCGCACTCAGCGATATTCCAGCTATATGGCAGCGGTCTGTAAATAATCGAGTCTGGACCAGACAATTTAGTGATCAACAGCATGAACATCAATCTATTTGGATACGATGACCACCCAATCCCGTTAGTCGCCTCTTTCGACAAGCATGGGTTACTGAAGATCAATTCTCCCGAATCTTCACGGCTAGTAGGATGAGGGGTGACCATTAACCTGCTAGCCCCTTAAAGCTGGAGCGAGCTGAGAGCGAAAATATAGTGTAAAACAATCATATAACAATGATAAGGTTGTGCTTGAACATGCATTTGGGTGTGTATTGGTGTATCATAAACATGTACATTATTATCATCGTTGTTATTACTATTACCTTGTCTTTACTTTGTACACATGGCACATCTTAAACAAATCTGTTTCATACTGACTGACTGAGTTTGGTTGTACGCCGCTTTTAGCATTATTCCAGCAATATCACGGCGGGGGACACCAGAAATGGGCTTCACTCATTGTACCCATGTGGGGATTCGAACCCGGGTCTTCGGCGTGACGAGCCGAACGCTTTAACCACTAGACTACCCCACCGCCCAAATCTGTATCATAAAGACAGTCGGGTTTAACACTGCTTCAAACAGTATTACAGTTATATCACAGCATTTCAGCTGACTATGGGAGAAAAGCAGGAAGTGAGGGTTATCTGTCGTTTTCTGCTTAGGTGAAATCCTTAAGCTGAGGTATGATGCTGACATACCAAGATACATAATCTGGGCAATCCATGACTCACGATCAAAGGTTTCTCGCATTCCGAAAGGATGCAACTCTGAACAGCAGACTGTCTGGACCTTAAATGACTGTCCCCCTACCACGCCCCTTGGGACAGGTCACATGTGTCACTGGCTGGTCTCTGTACACATGTTTATGTTTGCCCAGATGCTTGTTGTTCTACCACACGCTCAGCGATATTCCAGGTATATTACAGTGACCTGTAAATAATACATCAGGGCCAGACAAACAGGTGACAGAACGTCCCACACTTGGTCGTGGTAGGGTGTGGGGCATCTATCCTTACCCAAGACCCTTCGGGGTGGCAAGCAACAGAGCGTCAGGGACCTGTCCCTACCCAGGTTCCCACGGAGTGCCAAGCAGCAGAGTGTCAGGAATTTATCCTTACCCAAGACCCTTCGGGGTGGCAAACAACAGAGCGTCAGGGACCTGTCCCTACCCAGGTTCCCACAGCGTGCCAAGCAGCAGAGCGTCAGGAATCTATCCTTACCCAAGACCCTACGGGGTGGCAAGCAGCAGAGCGTCAGGGACCTGTCCCTACCCAGGTTCCCACGGAGTGCCAAGCAGCAGAGTGTCAGGAATTTATCCTTACCCAAGACCCTTCGGGGTGGCAAACAACAGAGCGTCAGGGACCTGTCCCTACCCAGGTTCCCACAGCGTGCCAAGCAGCAGAGCGTCAGGAATCTATCCTTACCCAAGACCCTACGGGGTGGCAAGCAGCAGAGCGTCAGGGACCTGTCCCTACCCAGGTTCCCACGGAGTGATAAGCAACAGAGTTTTAGGGATCTGTCCTTACCCAAATCCCCAAAAGGTGGCTAGCAATTGAGTGATTACCCAAATCCCACCAAAGTGGCTAGCAATTGAGTGTTGGGGATATGTCCTTCCCGAAGTCTATAAAAGGTGGCTAGGAAATTAGTGTTGGGGACCTAGCTAGGTCCCCACTGGTGATGAGCAATGGAGTAATGGATACGTACCAACCCCATTTACCAAAGGTGACAACCAATATACTACTGGGTACATGCCAATCCAGCTCCCCACAGGTGAAGAGCAACAGACTCCTCGGGAACCTTTCTAATCCAGTCCCCAGCACAGAGCATGATAGTCATGATAATAACAAACAGTAGGATCGTACAGTCATTGACAGGTTTATTATGAATAGGTGTGTTGTATACTCTGGGAGTTACACAACCCCGACCAGTATTGATTCGTGGGTTACAGATGATTCTCATGCTGTCTTTGAAGGAAGTTTTTTTGTTATACATTCAATTTTCACTTTTGCTTTAACTTTCATTTTGAGGTTTCTCTTTGAAACTGAACCTCAAATCAATCCCAAAATTTTATTTTTACATTTATACATTACAAAATGTTGAGAAGTAAGAATGTAATTTGGATTTTCTTGAACATGCTATAATGATGAATGATACTGTCAATTCTCCATGGGTTTGTATACAATATGGTCCTTCGACATCCATGAACACTTGGCACTATTTACTACAAGTGATGGAAGAACACAGTGCATAAAAACCCATGAAGTATTGCAAATATGACGCTGCAAGTATTGACAATAAGTTTGATACTGCAAGTATTGACAATACATGTGATACTGCAAATGTGATTATTCGTATGATACTGCAAGTGTTGATAAGTCGTATGATACTGCCTGTATTGACGTGTAGAATACTGCAAGTATTGACAATAAGTTTGATACTGCAAATATTGACAATAAGTTTAACACTGCAAGTATTGACAATACATGTGATACTGCAATTGTCAACATGCGTATGATACTGCCAGTATTGATAAAGTGTATGATACTGCCTGTGAGTGGGGGTAAATGAGTTGGGTTTTAAGCCGTCTTAGCAATATTCCAGCAATATTCGAGCAATATCAAGGCGGGGAGACACTAGAAATGGGCTCCACACATTGTACCCATGTGGGAATCAAACCCGGGTCTTCTGCGTGACGAGCAACCACTTTAACCACTAGGCTACTCCACCATCCCAGGATACTGCCAGTATTGACGTGTATGATACTGCCAGTATTGACAGTGTGAATGATACTGGCAACATTGCCAAGATACAGATGTCACACATTGTACCCATGTGGGAATCAAACCCGGGTCTTCTGCGTGACGAGCAACCACTTTAACCACTAGGCTACTCCACCATCCCAGGATACTGCCAGTATTGACATGTATGATACTGCCAGTATTGACAGTGTGAATGATACTGGCAACATTGCCAAGATACAGATGTCAGCATGGCTGGAAAAGCACATTTGTCAGCAAACAAAAAGCTGAGCCTGTGGATGACCTGACATTTCTATAATACAAAACGATCAATCTTAGAGATTTTGAAATCAATTAGAAATGACACCAGAAATTCTGACACTAACTCAACAAACATGTATAGATTAATAACAGCAAAACTAACAAACATCACCATCTATAATAAGACACCACCTACAATTTGACATCTGTAGAAACTTTCAAAATCAAGGCCAATTTATATCCACCATCTGTGATCCAAACTCAAGAACATCAGTAGAACATACAAAGTTTCGACAACAAAAGATACATGTGATGTCAGTGACGGACTCTTCACATTGCCAGTGAAACCAAAACAGCTCGAAGAAAAGGGGGAGATTTTATACCCAATGTATAGTACATGCAAGCCACATAACACTCCAGGTACCAAATAGTAACATCAGCGACAGCGATATATAGAGAATCTCACACAAGTGTCTACTGATATCCATTATATCAACACGAGTTGATAAAGTTACAAGTATCTGAGTCTTGCCGAGTATGTTTTCACTTTTATCAACGAGTGTTGATATATTTGATATCAGAAGACACAAGGGTGAGATTCTATTTATCATCAAAAATCACTCTTCATTAGTTTTCAATGCAAAATGTACATTTCTGAACACGGTACTACCATTAGACTTGCAGTGCAGCGATGTCATAGTATTGTAATGTCATCAAGTTCATGATGCCCTAGCATTGTCAGGGCATTGTACAAAATCCTAGGAGATATCGTTTGACCTCACACAAGCAATATCTCCTGTGAAACACAGTTTTGGATGATAAACATCTATTCTGTTGTCAGCAATATTTTACACACATGCTAATAAAGGGACCACAACAAAAAACCTGCTTCGGAATTTCTAGTAATCAAAAGAGCTGGAGCCAGAAAAGATTTGACAGTCACGTCACTGACACACAAGAAAACATCCAGACCTTGATCATTTGTGCAGAGGCTGTCTGAACACAGGACTAATAATTAGATTCAGCTCTCCACATTTGAAACTGAAAACATCAAACCTAAATTCTTCACAACGTTAATTCAGATATACATTCTGACTCTTCAATCTGCTTCCGAAAATCATCTCATGAGTGAGTGAGTTGGGTTTTACGCCGATTTTAGCAATATTCCAGCAATATCATGGCAGAGGACACCAGAAATGGGCTTCACACATTGTACCCATGTGGGGAATCAAACCCGGGCTTACGGTGTGATGAACGAACGCTTTAACCACTAGGCTACCCCACCGCCCCTCATCTCATGAAAATACAGTCAGTATTATTAACAGGCAAGGACTGTTGCACAAAGCAATCGTACAGATGTGACTGTCGTAAGTCCGAGTTGAGATGTGCCAGTTACAATAGTCGTAGAGTTACGATTGCTTCACGACACAAACCCCTTGAACATTGATGTTTAAACATGTAAAATAAATATAAACAAAACAAATATAAATAAGGAAGTGATAAACACAACATAAACAATTTTAAAGTTATTCAAGACAAATTAAGATTGTATGGTAAAGGAGTGAGAGAGTTCAGTTTTACGCCACGTTTTGCAATATTCCAGCAATATCACGGCGGGGGGACACCAGAAATGGGCTTCACACAGTGCACATGTGGCTATGGTAAAGGAGCTGGGATTAACTTTCCCCTGAACAGTATTTCTGTTCTATCTGTATAACATGATAGATTTGTTTGCTTGTTTATCTGTTGTTTAACGCCACACTCAGCAATATTTTCCATCTAACTGGCGACAGTCTGTAGATAATCAATTCTGGACCAGACATTCCAGTGATCAACAGCATGAGCCGCGATCTATGTGATTAGGATATGATGACATGTGTCAACCAAATCAGCAAGCCTGACCACCCAATCCCGTTAGTTGCCTTTTACAACAAGCATGGGATGCTGAAGACCAATTCTAACCTGGATCTTCATGGGTATAACATGATAGGAAAACCTAGAGTGACACAAAGTGTAGACATTGACAACTTTAGTTCAACTCACAAGGCAAAGTATCGTGCTGAGAGGCCAAGAATACAAATCAAAGAGCATCCAGTATGAAAATAACACACAGCAGATCCTCACACAGCTAAGGGACATTACTCTGCCAAGCAAGTTATGTGACCTTCAACCCAATATCTCAAAAGACATTCTATAGCTTTTTTAACCACTCTGTACAAGTGTTACCTAACAATTATTTTATTTCTATTTCAACTTGGCTAATAAGAAGACAGGGACAGTTTTTAGACTGAAAACATCTATCAGAGTAAAGGCAGATTATTATCTTAGTCATTCAGATGTAAACTGAACATCGACGGCATGAGACACAACTGATTCAACTTAAGCCACAACACATCAACACAAATATATGTTCAGCTGAGGGAAACAAAGCTCACAAGTAAGGCCAGACCAATTTTATTTCTTGTTTTACGGAATTTTTGTTGTCAGAAAACCTAAAGGCAGGAGGGGAAAAAAATAAAAATAAAATCACCAGTCAAAGTAATATTCCTTCTAAATACTCAAAGTATTTTACTTTCGGCAGTTTATGAAGTGTATATGGGGGTTGGGGGGAACAATCTAAAAAGAAATATCTTGTAAGTTTACATTTTAGGCACATAAAAACATTAGGATTTTATTTTTTGAGCAGGGAAAATTAATTTATATTTTTTTTCTTATTCTTGAAAAAATACGACAGGCGGATCCGTAAAACAAGAAATAAAATTGGTCTGCCCTAAGTGAAAGATTTCAGACAGAGGAAAAGCAAAGGTTAAATTTTCATCCAGGTGTTTCCCCCAGATTGGTTACATCAGTAAGCATCACAAACAACAAGCCACATATGTACAACACATCATCCCAATACATCTTTTTTTACATTACAATAGGAAATATGTCTACATTGTCCTTTAACACTGAATATACAAGGTAGTTAACCCATCCAATCATTTAACAAACTTGGACCATGTTCAGCAATGTCAATACAAAGTGGTACAAATAATCAGTAATTTACATAATATAATACACACTCACACTGTCTTGTAACAGGAGTTTCTCATTACAAATCCTGCATGTAACAAGAAACAGCATGGATGACAACTTCACCAACATTCTAATACACATACTTGGTCCATGCATGCTTCATAAGCGTCGGCAGCAAAATGTGGCTCAAGGGCTCATGCTTCATCACAGATCTAGAATCTGCACAGATATTTGACTCAAATGTATATAAAGAAGTTGTCTATCATGCACTTTCTTGCTACTGCCTCCATAAAGTGCTAGAATGACAGTCCTTGGTTAAGTACAGTCAATAATCATCACAAGCGAGGCGGATGTGCAGAGATCTAATCTGAAACACATGGAAAAGAATTTTGAGGAAAAGGTTCCTTGGTAATTTGATTATTGAAGTAACATAACTAATAACATCTTATCATTAGATCCATAGTTGAAAACATGTTGATGATGGGTTTGTGTATCCAAAAACATGAATAAAAACAGAGTAACCGCAGAAAGAATGATGGTTTGGGTTTGGAGTACCCCTGGCTACCCCTGGCTACCCCTGCATGTATGGTAGAGGAGGCAGCTCTGGATAGGCCTTAAGTCCAGGTGAACCGCTTGAAATATAAGTGTGTCAACAGGAATATTTGGCATCTGCACAGCGGATCTCATTTGATCTTCAGCTAGGTCATGAGCTTTTGCTATTTAGAATACCTGCTGGCGCGGTGGGGTAGCTTAGTGGTTAAAGTGTTCGCTCATCACGCCAAAGACCCGGGTTCGATTCCCCACATGGTACAATGTGTGGGAACCCCCATGATATTGCTGGAATATTGCTGAGAGCAGCGTCAAACCAAACTCACTCACTCACACACTCACAAGAATATCTGCCCCTTTCCAGTATCTGCAAGATTCAAAGTGTTAAGGCTGTATGTGGAGATGTAACACGATCCACAGTCACGTGATAACTCACCTGTACCGGCCTGGCCTCCATCCGACTTGCTCCCAGGGTTCTCCTCATTCACACTGATATCTGCCAGGGATATGAACGAGGGTAACTTCTCTGGAGAAGGGGAGTCTGGATCATTTGTCTGAACACACATGTCTGATGTGGTCTGAACACAAGCTTCTGCAGTGGTCTTACTGTCATTTGCTTGAACACTTGCATTTGCACCACAGTCACCCGACGCTCGCGTCGCTGCTCGCAACCTCTGTCGGTGTTGTCACAGTCTTCTCTTCTGATCCAGCAACATTTGCCTTTCCATCAGTACTGACTGATGCAGAGGAAGGTGTACACTCACCATCAAGATTGCTGTGTTTGGAAACATTCACAGAATCAATTTCAGACCTGTCTGCAGAATCTGACCTATCTTCCACCACAGGTGCAGCACTGGGTCCAGATTGGGAATCCGTCAACGTACTAGCAGTTGAGGTTAATTCCAGCAAATCATCACATGCCATGGTTGAGGCATCAACAGATGTCTTTTGACTAGAGCCTTCATCACTGTTTGTGCTTCCATCTGTCTTTACTGTCTCTCTGGCAGCTGTATCAGCAGCCGTTGAAGCTGCTGTTTGGTCCGAGGCAGCTGTCACATCCTCAGATTGTCTCTGTTCATCACTCTTTGCTGAACCATTTGGTCTGAAAATAGCATGTTATCCATTAGTTCTGGAGCAACTGATTGAATAATCAGTCAAATGATCAATCGCACTTGTAGCAGCGATTATTGATGAGCTTGCGAGACTAATCGATATTCATAAAACATGAAACATTAATATAAACTTTATAAGGTATGTTTATCCATTGTTATGTTTGTTAAATCAGGACTTTAACAATTGAAGCAGTTTCCTGACTCGTAAAACTGCAATGTAAACAACATTGATCATGGTATTAATCGCACAATGTTACGATTGTGTACCGTTATTGTGAACATGCGTTTTGTGGTGGGGTTCACGATTACAATCGATTATTGATTGTTTACTGAGCTCCAATTATCAATCTGCGTATTATGAGCGATAACCATCACTAACATCCATACAACAATTCTGTACCAGCCAACAGCGGATAACCTGATCACAGACCAAGAAACACTGTCCTGCAAAATCTTCATGTGACAAAATATTTTAAACATTGTCACATAAAAAAATAGAAAAAAACAAGAAGACATGGTCATCAATATCCCCTGCTACAGTGTTCTGTTCCTATTTGGTTCCTGTTTTTTTAACTCCACCACGACATTCATGTCCTGACAACGGACATAGCTCTGTAACAAATTGTAACACGGTTTCTGTTTCTGAACTCTATCAAGGCATTCATGTCCTGCAAACACATATAAAAATTTCGTTTCCCCGATCTGTAACGGTTTCTGAGAAAATCTGTCCCCACCTTGACTGTTGATAAACACTCCATTTAGCATTATTCCAGCTATGTGACAGAGGTCTGTAAACAATCAAGTCTTGATCAGACAATCCAGAGCTTGACATCACATTGACCTACGTAACTGAACAAGGAGCAGATCTGGTGACCAAATCCCCGTTGGTCATCTCTAACGACCAGCATGGGCTGCTGAAGAACGATTCAAACACCAATATTTCAGCTCTACCAACCATGGCCTATAAATAATTGATGATCAATCAGTAAGCCACTAGGTGACATGTCAATATTACAGCAATGTCGCTCAATGAGTCAGATACTGCCTTCCCTGGTAGGCTGAACAAATTCAGGGAACACAAGCCTTACATATCATAACCACAGGGAAAAATACACTCGCATCCTCAGACTGTCAACGGCTTCCTTAACCATGTGGGGCTATGTTACCTGTTCGTCTGTAGTCTCTTGGCGCTTCTCTTATGCAGCATGGGGCACTTCTTGCCTCGTGGACACGACCCTGATTCAGCAAATGTTGGACATCTCAGGGTGTGCTTCTTTGAACACTAGAACAGGCACAAAGTTGTCAAATCATGCAATCTTATTACTTATACCTGATGTTTACACACAGTTTTGTATCACTGTCAAAAGTATGGCTTATGGTTATATGTATATAATTCCCAAACACTGAATTGGAAACCATTATATCTGTCATATTAGTCATTGTATTCTAAACGATTGGATAGATGTTTTTCTCTTTTCGTAAGGGACGAGCTACCAACACAATCGACCATGCAACAAAGTAACTAACATTCACCCACCCACCAACCAGTCAGTGAGTGAGTGAGTGAGTATGGTTTTATGCCGTTATTAGCAATATTCCAGCAATATTCACGGCGAGGGACACCAGAAAATAGGCTTCGCACATTGTACCCATGTGGGGAATCGATCCCGCACCTTTAGTGTGATGAGCAAACACTTGTACCACTAGGCTACCCCACCACCCTACAAAAGTACAAACCACTTGACCATTTTGAATCAATGACTTGTTTGTTTGTTGTTTAACACTGCACTCAGCAATACTCTAGTTATATGGTGTCAGTCTGTAAATAATCAAATCTGGACCAGACAATCCAGTGACCAACATCACGAGCATCGATCTACGCAATTGGGATACGATAACATGTGTCAACCAAGTCAGCGAGCCTGACCACCTGATCCCGTTAGTTGCCTCTTACAGCTGACTGACTGAGTTTGGTTTTACGCCGCTTTTAGCAATATTCCAGCAATATCACGGCGGGGGACACCAGAAATGGGCTTCACTCATTGTACCCATGTGGGGATTTGAACCGGGTCTTCGGCGTGACGCCAACGCTTTAACCACTAGACTACCCCACCGCCCCAGTAGCCTCTTACAACAAGCATGGGTTACAGAATACCAATTCTAACCTGGATCTTCACATGTGTCTCATACTTCAAGACCTAACGTTGAATATAGGATGAGTATAGACTTCTGCAGGGCTGTGATGGTAATAAGCATGCAATGGGATGCTTGTTTAATTAAATATGTGTAAATACATTTGGAGATAGATACTCTGACACATTACTAAGAATCCAATCCTGGCAAATCTCACCTGCTCTCCACGTGGACAGAACCCTCGAACAAAGTCCTGGCACACCTCTGCATCCTTGCTGACCTTGACATGCAGGTAAGGGCAGTCGTCACGGTTACACAAGCCACGTAAGAAGTAGGAGCACACTGGCATCTTATCCCGCGCCACTTTGTGTGAGAAGGGACAGGAGTCCACCTTGCATGTTCCCCTCAAAAACCTGCAACAGTCACTCATGCTGTAGCTTACTTTATCATTACATGATATAACACAGGCAGCCTCCATTACCTAAACACCACTACACTTGGTCCCTGTGTAAAGATATTTTGTTTTTTGTTTTTGTTTTAACGTCACTCTCAGCAATATTCCAGCCACGTGGCAGTGGTCTGTAAGTACTTGAGTCTGGACCAGATAATCCAGTATAGTATGGACAGCATAAGGAAATTCCTCATGGTAGGTAACATTAGAGAAAAACTAAAGATAAAGTTATGAACCCTATAAATTTCTTTTAACTTACTGGTGTGTGTGTGTGTGTGTGTGTGTGTGTGTGTCTCTCTCTCTCTCTCTCTCTCTCTCTCTCACGATCTATATAATAGCAAGTTCAAATTCACAAAAGTCATTAATTGTTTCATTCCCTGTAATCAATCTTTTGTAAACAAAACACACAACTAGTCACACAATTAAGTGAATCCAGTGATCAACAGCATGAGCATCGATCTACACAATTGGGATACGATGATGTGTCAACCAAGTCACCGAGCCTGGCCACTAGATCCCATTAGTTACCTCTTACAACAAACATGGGTACAACACAATGTTCTTCTTAATTTAAAGAAACATCAGATTACAAGGCCACTGAGACGAGTAATTTATTATGTTAAATGGAGGTGCCGGTGATATTTTCTTCATGGTGGAAGAGGGAGAGTGTTTGCCAAGAGGCAACTAGGAATATCTGGGATAAGTGGCATCTACAACTGGTAATTTAATATACAAACTTTGAAATAAGCATTTCCCTGTGCGACTGCATGGTTTTGAGGATTATATATTATATGTTGTTCACTGGTCGTCGGGCTCAGGGAACATAAACAGACATCGAGGGTACATCAACCCATGGGTCCCGAGGGACCAGTGAACAACGTATTTATCTTACCGAACACCTCAATGGTAATTTTGAACTGTTTGAAGCACGGGTATAGGATCATAGTATGGAGTACCAGATGACAAGACGACACTTGTTTAGTATATTTCGTATGTTATGAGACCGAGTGTGGTATTTTATTTATTACCCACGACTTACATGCTTTAAATTGACAAAATAGCACATTTTTGTTATTTTTATGGTTTCAAACTGAAACCAGTTTCATAAAGAGGTTGCGGTAGAATGTTGTTCTGTAGTACACTTTTTGCATGACGTCACACTGTAACATTAAACTACTCCGTAGCACCCCGTTTCTTAGTTTGCAGTTGCTTCACACGGCGGTGGCAACTGTTTGAAACTTTGCGTTTATGTTTTTCGACGCATATAATGTCTCAGGACTCACAATTAAACAGCAATACGGCAACGTTTGCAATGTTTACATTCCCACAATGCTTATAAGTTGTAGAATGAATGAATTCACATGTTTGATATGAATGAAAAAGTAGTTCCGTCACAACGTGACCTAATGGAGAGGTCATCGGTTATCCAATCAAATCGTTAGAATCTCAGGTCAAGTCGTTACGACACTCGTGTGACGTACAAGATTAGTATGCAACTACCCATACGTTGATCACGTGGGTAATAAATAGAAAATGTGACTCGCTTGTAAGCGGGGTACACTGAAAATAATAGAAGAACGCTTAGCCAATCAGAAAACGACATTTATGTGTGAGGCAAGATAATATCATTTCTGTTTATCATAACCACAACTCAAAATCTGTAAACAGTCTATCCCAAACTAAAACAAATTATAATTAATTGATTTTTAATTGGTCATATGCATGTCAATGGCTGCAGCAAAGGCAATATCTACTACAAATAATTGTTTCAGGACAAATTTATACAAATATTTCACTTAATTGTATCAGCGAAATTTGGTTCAAGATATCGTCATGGATCTTTCATAATCATATTAGTTGACATGTTGTGTCACTCTTACCGTGTACAGACAGCAACTTTGTTTGGATCATGCTTGTAAGGACATCTTGTACCCAGCCTGCACCGACCAAACTTGTTGTAGAAGACGCAGTAGCCATTCACAGACTTGGTGTTGTCCTTATGCAGGCTGTTTGTCGCAGCTATGATGACTCGACTCTTCACACGACTAAAGTACAAACAGTAACACACAGATAAGCACTGAAAGCTCAAACCTGTACCTGGGCATTATGACAAACAAATCTCCCCAAGGGTAGACATGACAAGTGAGCTAATTTAAAAAATTACAAAAAGCTGTTTCTCTCAAACATCCTGAAACCAACTAATATGACATATACTACAGAAAAGAAGTTAAACAACACCAGATTTTTCCTTATGACTAAAGTTTGCCTGTCAGTTTAACTATAGCAGTATGACAGTTTATGTTATGTGAACTACCAGTCTGAAATGACCTGAATGTTCATGGCACTTCCCTTGCTCCCCACATACTGGTAATAATCAAATTATCATTTTCAGGAATAATGATACACACCACATGTATCCATAGTAACATATGTTCAGTACTGAAGCATTCAAGCATTTCCCAAGACCACATTACCTAGCAACAGCTCTGGTTCGGACAGTCGTAGATCGTACGAGTGTCCCCGGTTTCGTCTGTATGAATGTAACACCGCCGATGTCCACACGCTTGATCTCTGCTCTGTGCTGCTTCCTACCTACAGACTTGGTCGGAGACTGGGCTGTAAGGGATACATGGGCTTGAGAGTTTGGTTGGTTTTCTCAGATAGCAGTATTTCCTGCCTTGATTTCAAATCATGGGTGACATAATGACTCTCAAATATTTAACAAGATCCCATGCTGTTACCAAACCTTACCATCTGATCCAATTTAGTCATCTCTCATGAACAGCAATTTATGTTCATCAGGGCTGGTTCCTGTTCATCAGAGCTCTCTCTTGTCATCAGAAGTAGTTCTTGTTCATCAGCGCTAGTTTCTGTTGTTCAGAGCTAACTTTTTTTATCAGAGTAAGTTTCTGTCATCTGGGCAAGTTTCTGTTGTTCAGAGCTAGCTTTTTTTATCAGAGTAAGTTTCTGTCATCTGGGCTAGTTTCTGTTGTTCAGAGCTAGCTTTTTTTATCAGAGTAAGTTTCTGTCATCAGCTAGTTTCTGTTGTTCAGAGCTAGCTTTTTTCATCAGAGTAAGTTTCTGTTAAGGGCTTTTCTGTTGTTCAGAGCTGGGCTAGTTTCTGTCATCTGGGCTATCTGTTCATCAGGGTTAGTTCCAGTTCATCTTGTTTAATTCATCTTCGCGAGGAACAATGGTATTCGTCTTGGCTATATCATATTCAAATGGGCTAGTCCATGCTCATTCAGTTTACCAGACCAGGCCCCGATTTCTCGAAACAAACTTAAGTCTGAGTTTTGACTTAAGTTAGAGTTTTTACTCAAATGTGAGAAAATGCATTTCCTAGAATAAACTGAAATTGATATTAAACTCAAACATAGTAGACAATTTGAGTTTGGTGGATAGATTACTTAAGTTGTTTAGGCTTTTTTTATTTAAAAATGCAGTTGAGTTAAAACTTCAGCTGTTTCAAATTGTCAAACTCAGTTTGAAATTTGAGTAAAAACTTAAGTTTGTTTCGAGAAATCGGGGCCTGGACTTGAACATGTCCATTCAGAACAAGGATCATGTTCATTATGACTAGCTAATAACCATTAGCATTAGATCCTGTTCATCTGATTACTACCCACTGAGGCCAATGAACCTTTCATGTTTATGTCAACATGAGCAACACAACAGTTTCATCAGATTCAAAGAGTTTAAGATAAAACAAGAAACCATATATACAAAAATACATTAACAGCCCATTCAGACGAATAATCAAGGGTGTTGAGTGAAGGCAAAGGTACTCACTCTGGTCAATACGCTGGAGACTGCGTCCTGAGGAATCCATACGGAACTTGACTCCTCTCACCGAGATGGTCTTCATGGCAGCTGCATTCAGCTCTGTAGCAGAGTGTACCAGAATATACAGGACCTGCTCGTCACACAATAATGACAGGGGGGTGGTAGGGTAGTCTAGTGGATAAAGCGTTAACTCGTCAAGCCGAAGACCAAGGTTCGATTCCCCACATGGGTACAATGTGTGAACCCATTTATGGGGGCCCCGCCGTGATATTGCTGGAATATTGCTAGAAGTGGCGTAAAACTAAACTCACTCACTCAGTAAAAACAACTGACCTTCAGTGTGTACATTCTCAGTGGCATATAAATCAAGTCCATAGAGATAAGGTATTTGTATTTACCACACTACTTTGAAAATGTTACTGTAGACATGGTAGACATGTTTGGAAATACCTCCCCACCTTACATGTCTCTTAAATGAGTGAGTTGTGTTTAATGCTCCTTTGAGCAATATTCCAGTCATATCATGGTGTTTCAGCTTGAAATTGGAGGAAAGTCAGATATGATGAAGAACTCATATGTTTATCACTTTGGTGAAACACATTGCCATGGGTATGGTGCAGACAGACCAAGAAACATGAACCTATGATGGGTAAACCGGGATTCGAACCCAGAACAGGTTCCTGGCATGCACAGAGACTCTTTACCTATGCAATCCAGGTGCACGAATCTTCTCTTCATAATACATGAGTCCCATGGTGACCCTCTACTACCATGCCACTACTGTCAATCTCAAAACACATACTCACGTTTGACAACAACTGATCTCGTCTTGCCAGTGAGGGGTTGGGCTCTTGTTCCCACCCCTGCTGCTGGTGCCTTCTGTGGGGGTACTGCTTTGGTCAGAGTGGTACTGGAGGACTTGTATAGTATGCCATTGATGAGGACATGTCTGGAGGACCTCGGCCTGGGGCTGTCTTCAATGGCCAGCCTTGGGCTGTCTTCAATGGCCAGCCTTGGGCTATCTTTAATGGCAAGTCTTCCCACAGTGGCTTTTTGACGCCGATCAAATTTCAGTCTGGAGAAGAGAGATCTTTTAATATTTACCAAACATATAACAAGCACCACTTGACAAGTTGACAATTGACATTATCATGTTATTGAGAAAGTGGGTTGGGTTTTACGCCATTTTTAACAATTTTGCAGCAAAATTGTGACAAGGGATACCAGAAATTGGCTTCACGCATGGGGGGAATCTAACATGGGTCTTCATGTTGATGAGCAAACACTTTAACTTCTAGGTTACACCATACCCACTCACATGTTATAAGGTTGCTAATGTAGTTATAGCATGATCAGAAAGAAGGTGTTGATATGACTATAGTCCGTTTGGCTCAAAAGCGGACCGATGAATTGCAATCTAACTCGAAAACTAATAAACATAAAATACTCAATGAAACGCTGATCATAATCAAAACATCAGACCAACTCTGTGATTTGTGTGCAGAATTTATGTCAAAAAATTTAAAAAGTTGTTTAACAAACTATCATTAAAATATTGACACAGTTCACTATTTTGCACAAGGGAGGAGTGCAGAGAAAGGGACAGCCAGGTGTTAGAGAAGCATGTGCACAAGTGCCGACAAAGTTAATGATTCATTAACCTGTGCTGTGCCATCTCCATCCTTTCTCGCACATCTGGCTGTCCCTGTCTCTGCACTCCTCCCTTGTGCAAAATAGTGAACTGTGCCAATATTTTAATGATAGTTTGTTAAACAACTTTTTTAATTTTAGGACATAAATTCTGCACACAAATCACAGAGATGGTCTGATGTTTTGATTATGATCAGCGTTTCATTGAGTATTATATGTTTATTAGTTTTCGAGTAAAATTGCAATTCATCGGTCTGCTTTTGATCCAAACGCACTATAGGATCTGAGAAGTTTCAGGACAATAACAGAAACTCTGATACTTGTGAACTCTTTTCTATCTAGAGTGACTGACATATTAACGTCTTGAAAAGGAAGGATGTCAGGAGTTGGAATTGTAGAATTTAGTACTACTTCATTTTCTTTGCTGTCCAAAACACAAACCCTTATCATAAAACAGCAAAGACTAACCAGCCCAAATAGTTTGTTTGTTTGTTGTTTAACTCAGCAATATTCCAGCTATATGGCGGTGGTCAGTAAATAATCAAGTCTGGATGAGACAATCCTGTGATCAACACCATGAGCATCAATCTTCTCAATTGAGATACGATGACACGTGACAACCAAGTCAGCGAGCCTGACCACCCAATCCTGTTAGTCGCCTTTTACGACAAGCATGGGTTCAGCCCAAACAGTGATAACATATATCATGAGCTATCACCTGAAAACCTGCAATACTACTAAAGTATACTACAGTATACTTAACATCAGATGGGGTGAACTAAGTCAGGCAGAGAGGAACATGCCATTCCTTGACATGCTCCATATGATAAATCTCACTATCACCATGATCACCAGTCTACAATGGTGATTAGCTTACCGAGACACACGATGCTTGTTGGATCTCCTCAGAAGATGTAACCTCTTCTGCAAAAGGTTTTTCATGGTCAAACGAGATTTCTGTTTCCATGACAACCACTGGTGCTTTTTCCAGACCCGAGATGTTGATTGTGGATACCTGCCTGTGTAACCTGCAGTGACAAAGGTCAGCGTGTTGAAGACAAACCATATGCACGATAAGTAAAGTACCATAAACTCGAATGAAAATGCTCAATGTGTCTTGGTATATTATTACTCAAAGCATTTTCAAAGAGTGTGTATAACTTTCATAGTCATGCAAAGATTTTCTCTTAATTGTTGTTAATCACTGGGTGTTTGATACTATGTTTAACATGATTTGATGTAACAGTGAAACCTTGATTATCATGTTTATATCTACAATTAAGTAAACAGAAATGAATACAGTAAACATTGGGTATAAGAAATTCATAGGGACCACTAATTTTAGTTAGTTGCAACCATAGTGCATTATTATGGATTTTGACTGAAGAAGTACAGCAAATGGCCAGAACAAAACAAACCGAATTCCTCATATCTGTAAGTTCATTATAAGCATTTTCATTACATAATATTTTACTATACATATAAACATACGTAGACTGTTTTGTTCTGCTCTCCGAAGATAGTGGGAATGAGCAATAAACTTTTGTATTTTGTTTGTTGTGTAACGCTGCACTCAGCAATATTCCAGTCATATGGTGGTGGTCTCTAAATAATTGAGTCTGGACCAGCAATCAAGTGATCAACATCATGAGCATTGATCTACGCAATTGGGATACAATAACATGTGTTGACCAAGTCAGCGAGCCTGACCACCTGATCCCGAGGGTAGCCTCTTACAACAAGCATAGGTTGCTGAAGATCAATTCTAACCCGGTGCAGAAGGCCATTTCTTCCCCGGTCTAAACTTTCCCCAGGGAGAATCTGGCCTAGGCCAAACTTTCCCCGGGGAGGTTTTGTCCTAGGTTATTCTTACCCCAGGGAAAGTTTGGGCTAGACTAAAGTTTTCCCCCTGTTTAAACTAGGATATTTTGTTCTGTTTTCTATGAAAAGTGAGATTCTGGCCTAGCTAGGCCACTTCTTCCCCACCCTTGTTCTTATATCAAAAGGGGGTGATTCTGGCCTAGCTAGGCTACTTCTTCCCTACCCTTGTTCTTATATCAAAAGGGGGTGATTCTGGCCTAACTAGGCCACTTCTTCCCCACCCTAATTCTTATATCAAAAGGGGTGATTCTGGCCTAGCTAGGCTACTTCTTCCCTACCCTTGCTCTTATATCAAAAGGGGGTGATTCTGGCCTAGCTAGTCTACTTCTTCCCCACCCTTGTTCTTGTATCAAAAGGGGGTGATTCTGGCCTAGCTAGGCTACTTCTTCCCTACCCTTGCTCTTATATCAAAAAGGGGGTGATTCTGATCTAGCTAGGCTACTTCTTCCCTACCCTTGCTCTTATATCAAAAGGGGGGTGATTCTGATCTAGCTAGGCTACTTCTTCCCCACCCTTGTTCTTATATCAAAAAGGGGGTGATTCTGATCTAGCTAGTCTACTTCTTCCCCACGCTTGTTGTTGTATCAAAAGGGGGTGATTCTGATCTAGCTAGGCTACTTCTTCCCTACCCTTGCTCTTATATCAAAAAGGGGGTGATTCTGATCTAGCTAGGCTACTTCTTCCCCACCCTTGTTCTTATATCAAAAGGGTGATTCTGATCTAGCTAGGCTACTTCTTCCCCACCCTTGTTCTTATATCAAAAGGGTGATTCTGGCCTAGCTAGGCTACTTCTTCCCCACCCTTGTTCTTATATCAAAAGGGGGTGATTCTGATCTAGCTAGGCCACTTCTTCCCCACCCTAATTCTTATATCAAAAGGGGTGATTCTGGCCTAGCTAGGCTACTTCTTCCCTACCCTTGCTCTTATATCAAAAGGGTGATTCTGATCTAACTAGGCTACTTCTTCCCACCCTTGTTCTTATATCAAAGGGGGTGATTCTGGCCTAGCTAGGCTACTTCTTCCCCACCCTTGTTCTTATCGTCAAAGGGGTGATTCTGGCCTAGCTAGGCTACTTCTTCCCCACCCTTGTTCTTATATCAAGGTGATTCTGATCTAGCTAGGCTACTTCTTCCCCACCCTAATTCTTATATCAAAAGGGGGTGATTCTGATCTAGCTAGGCTACTTCTTCCCCACCCTTGTTGTTGTATCAAAAGGGGGTGATTCTGGCCTAACTAGGCCACTTCTTCCCCACCCTAATTCTTATATCAAAAGGGGTGATTCTGGCCTAGCTAGGCTACTTCTTCCCTACCCATGCTCTTATATCAAAAAGGGGGTGATTCTGATCTAGCTAGGCTACTTCTTCCCCACCCTTGTTGTTTATATCAAAGGGGTGATTCTGGCCTAGCTAGGCTACTTTTTCCCACCCTTGTTCTTATATCAAAGGGGTGATTCTGGCCTAGCTAGGCTACTTCTTCCCTACCCATTGCTCTATCATCAAAAGGTGATTCTGATCTAGCTAGGCTACTTCTTCCCACCCCTGTTGTTGTATCAAAGGGGTGATTCTGGCCTAACTAGGCTACTTCTTCCCCACCCTTGTTCTTTTATATCAAAGGGGTGATTCTGGCCTAGCTAGGCTACTTCTTCCCTACCCATGCTCTTATATCAAAAGGGGGTGATTCTGGCCTAACCAGGCCACTTCTTCCCCACCCTTGTTCTTATATCAAAAGGGGTGATTCTGGCCTAGCTAGGCTACTTCTTCCCTACCCTTGTTCTTATATCAAAAGGGGGTAATTCTGGCCTAACTAGGCCACTTCTTCCCCACCCTAATTCTTATATCAAAAGGGGTGATTCTGGCCTAGCTAGGCTACTTCTTCCCCACCCTTGCTCTTATATCAAAAGGGGGTGATTCTGGCCTAGCTAGGCCACTTCTTCCCCACCCTTGTTCTTATATCAAAAGGGGTGATTCTGGCCTAGCTAGGCTACTTCTTCCCTACCCTTGTTCTTATATCAAAAAGGGGTAATTCTGGCCTAGCTAGGCCACTTCTTCCCCACCCTATTGCTCTTATATCAAAAGGGGTGATTCTGGCCTAGCTAGGCTACTTCTTCCCCTACCCTTGCTCTTATATCAACAGGGGTGATTCTGGCCTAGCTAGTCTACTTCTTCCCCACCCTTGCTCTTATTTCAAAAGGGGGTGATTCTGGCGTAGCCAGGCTACTTCTTAACCCACCCTTGCTCTTATAAACCGACAGTAGGTTTGACTTATATTTTGGTACACATTTTTGCTAAATAGTCCATTTTTGCCTTGGACTTGGGTGTAGTGATTTGAATGCATACATGTTTGAACAGCATATATCTCTAAATCCATCCTGCTCCTGCCGCCATTCCTATGAAGACACATTGCATTAGTTCTTCATCTGTCCACCATAAGATGTAAACATTCAATCGCACATTTGATGGGTAAATAAGATGTAATATACACAGGTTGCTTGCTCTCTTATCATGCTGTTTCTTATCTAATATTTGTTGTATTTAAGTATAAATGTAATGGAACATTATTCACATAGGCTTGTTTACTAATCCATAATCACTTTGGGTGAATGAAATATGATTCAGATATCCATGGGCCAAGTATACCCCTTATCAAACCTTGTCTTTTGAATATGGCAATATAGTGGAATGATACTTTGATAGATGATACAGCATTTGATACAGATATTGTGTTGGGTTGTTATTGTTGTGTTGATGTTCACATCTGCTCCAAACTGTTAAGTTGATGTCACCGACATGCATGCCATATTTAAAGCCATGAGTGAGGGAACAAAATTTTGAATGGATATGGACATCCAAGTAAAAACTGGGTATTTAGTTAAAGTTTTGAATATAGTAATGATTTTGACATGAGCCAATTTTGAGTAAGTGGGGATAAGTAAATTATCGAAATATAAACATATGTAAATGATAATATAAAACAATAGTAATGATATAATATCTTTGCTTTTATGCTTGCTTTTGTTTTTACTCTCACCTTATAGAAGGGTATTGAAACAAAATGGGAACCATGTACATGTTATATATGAACATGAAATGACTTGTAAATAATGTTAATGGAACTTGACATCAACATGAATATCTTATCAATGTGTTCACGTGAATAGCTATGTCTTTTTTTCGTTTCTGACTTTTTCAAGACGAAACAAGAAAACAAGGTTGTGGAAGAAATAGCCTAGCTAGGCCAGAATCTCCCCCTTTTGATATAAGAACAAGGATGGGAAACAAGTAGCCTTTAAAGTTGATTCGAGGGTGGGGAAAGTTTGGCCTAGGAAGATTAAGCCTAGGGGGAGAACATTTGGCCTAGGCTAAAGTTTCCCCGGGGAAAGTCGAAAGTTTGGCCTGTTACACCGGATCTTCAGGGGTGTGAGCAATAAGCAATCCGTGAAGTTACTATTTCTGATTAATTTACTAACAGGAACTGACTTCAATATGTTTTTGCACTTACGGAGATCTCAACATAAAAACCAGTCAGAAAATTTATCCACTACACAGTGTGCTCACTGTTTGTTTATGTTAATCCTCCATTAAAGCTGATAAATGCAAAACATACTGAAGTCAACCCTGAAGTAACTTTTTGATATCAACTGACACAGAATTATTTTACTGATTCAAAGGGCATTCAGACTTCACTAATGTGGATACTGTTCTTATTCTGAGAGTGAGAAGTTTAGATATGCCACTGAAAGTACCTACCTCCGACATGCTGGTACGATGAAGCTGCCTGTGCACTCCACGGTGCTGCCCTCTGTTGATAGGCCTGCCATACTCTCGGGACTCCTCTCCACATGTAGCGTCTGGGGTACCTGTGCATGGTGGGTGGGAGGGCATATCGAGACATGTACCGGGGTACATAGCTGGGTCTGTATCGAGTAGGCTGTATCATGTACTTACTGTTGAAGTAGTTCATCTGTATGCTTCTGTTACCATACATGTCTGACTTTTCTATCTTGTACTTGCTGACGATAGTGTGTGCAGTACCGATACCTGGCACTGTTTTCTGCAGCTTGTACTTACTCATCATCACTTGAGACGTACCTGACTGCTGTACACTGTGAGTCTGGGCAGCTTGAACTGATTGCTGGATGTTATTAGCCATCACCTGCGACTGAAACCTGGTGTTGATGACTGATGGGGACATATGTCTATGTAAAGGTTTCACTATACCAGAACCTGTCAGAGCTGCTGTGTGCTGAGAAACCTGACGAGCAGCATGGAATTTGTTCCAAACGGGTGCTGCAGTAATGGGCCTCCCAACCACCTGTGGGCTTGACATGTTCCTCACAAACTGGACAGGCTGACCAGCTCCATATCTTGACCACACTTTGTTTGTCTGGGCCAGTGGGTGACCTATCGCAGAGGAGGCATGCACTGCTGAAATTCCAGAAGCTGGATTCATCATTGCTGACTGCATCCTCATTGCAACTCCCCCCAGGAGTAGCAATGGACTGAATGGCAACCTGAGACTGGAAAGCAGCAGGCTGCTGCTGCTGCTGCTGTGGAGGCTGAGTGTTCTGAGGGGTATTCAGAAGCTGATTTTGCAGTGCTTGGATTTTCGTTTGTGTCTTTTGTAATTCCTCCATTAATACTGCCATCTGCTGCATTTTAGGTTCTTCATTAGAACTGGAGGCTGATGTAGAATTCCCAGGCCTTGACGGAACCAGGGCAGATCTAAGGTAATCTGGCGTGAGCACATCCTGCGAGGTGGTGTTCGTCTGTAAAGACTGCATTCGTGAGGCAGCAGATACATGATGTCCAGGTAGCATTCCAGTGTGTGCTGCTTGTGATGCCTCAACACATATATCTGCATTGTGGCGAGACATCTGCATATAATTAGCACCAATCTTTGCATCTTGTGGAACTCCTCGTCTTTGTAACACGTCCTGCTGAAGCATCCGAGCATGTGATAGTAGTTGTTGCTGTTGTTGTTGTTGTTGTTGTTGTTGTTGCTGCTGCCGAACAATAGGCGATCCTATAACACTCCTGATATTATTGGAACTCACAGCTATATTTTGATTGCTTGGTTGGTTTAAGTTTGGCTGATAAACTGTCCTGGAAATGTTCATTTGTGTTGGTCTGTTAAAGACAGAAGTTCCAGCAGCTCTGTGGGCCTGGTGAGAGACAACAGGAGCTGAGTTGGCAAGTGGGAACTGACGATTACCTGCTCCCATCATCACACGAGATGGTGCTGCAACAGCAGGTGTGCGGTTGGAAACACCATATGGAAAACTTGTAGGAAATCTTGGCTGATTATATGTGGGCCTTCCAATATTGAAAGAGTTGTTCCATTGTGGCCTCATCTGGCCTCTGACCTGCCCATAGCTCGGTGAGGTTTGAGATGGATGTCTCATGCTATGAACGGCTGGTTGTCCTGGAGCCCGAGCAGAATTTATCAGATCTGTTAGAAGCAAAAATAATTATTACCAGTTAATATTTCTTACAGTGATATTTCCCATATGTTCTGATGTAAGTTAATCATGTTTTATAGGAACACTTCAGATTACTTAAATTCTCCAAAAAAAAGCCCCTGATCTTGTATGCTTAAGCTCAAATTCAATTTCAGATGAAAACTATGTACACCTTACCAGTAACAAAACATACTGATCATGCTGACGTCAACACAGTTACAAATGTTTTCACTCAGAATGTTCACTAACAGAATAATCGTAATCCTAGTTCTTTTATTAATTTGGTAATATTATACCAAGAAGCCAAAGACATTTTAACTGTAAAACTGGTCCCAGTTTGCATACATTTGAGCTAAGACCTGCACAGCATTGTAGTTTTAAAACCACCCCTGCTGCTTTCCACTACCTGTTCAAAATCGAATGTGTCCCAGTACTCGCACTGTAAAACGGTTTGACACTTTCACTTTGAACAGATTATCAGTGATAAAAATGGAGACATGTTATGGCTTTTTCACAACATTTTCAACTATCCTGTAACAATTCATTATAAGTTCCTTGTCTTTCTGTAACATGTTGGAGAAGGGCGGGCGGGGCGTATCTCCATCATGTGTACATGCAATAATAAAGAGTCGACCTAAGACAAGCTGTCTTTATAGTTATTCCAAACTTAAATTGGATCTGCGTTTCACAAGACAAAATCAACTCATATTTCCGTAACTCTGAACATCGACCGATGTGAGGGCGTCAGTAATAATGAGCGTTCTTGACTACGGAATGCGCAGCTAATCAAGACATCACGCTAAACAATGACATTGAGGGCTGTGATCAATTATGAACACCTGCACCACAATGTGACCATGATTCACTCGTTGCAGTATTACGGCACCTGCTTGTCTTGCAATAGTGTCTCTACAACCAGTAATAGTAAATAAATATAATGTACTAACTTGTTAAAAATGCAATTTGTTGACGCAATTTGTCTGCTTCGGAGGGAGCAGCGGCCATTTTGACATATTTTCCCTTACATCAATCACAAATGCTGATAACCCCGAAATTATCACACTGTATAGTGTAAATCATAATGCAATATATGAAACATTTCTGCAATAATGAGAAATATTAAATGTCGCATAGTGTAACTCACATACACTTTAAAACAACTGACATATTATATTGTATACAGTAAGCGATCTTGAGTAATTCCCAAGGGGATATACCCGAACCGGCCCCAAGCCGAACCGGCCCCTGGATATTTAACCCAAACCGGCCCCTGGATATTTAACCCAAACCGTCCCCGCACCCGAACCGGCCCCTGGGTTAATTAACGATAATCAGACAGACAATTAATCAGACAGATATGAAGATTTCAGTTAATTTATTATATATATACAGACATGAAGATTTCAATTAATTTATTATATATATATATATAGACATGAAGATTTCGGTTAAATTATTATATATATATACAGACATGAAGATTTCAATTAATTTATTATATATATACAGACATGAAGATTTTACTTTAGTATTGTTTTGCAATTGATCTTTTAGATTCTTAAAAGAATTACATAAAATGTCCTCTACCACGGGATCTCGTGATCAGCAGCACTTGCATGTTCACTTGCCTCTCATCGACACTAATATTCGCTAATATATTTTCAAAAATCGATATTACATGTAAAGACACATGCGTAATATGTTTTCGTCATTGATGTTAAAGGAACTTTAATTCATATGTCAATGTAGAAATATTTACTTCTCGGGGCCGGTTTGGGTCAAATATCAGGGGCCGGTTCGGCTTGGGGCCGGTTCGGGGGTAATTCTTTCCAAGTAATGTTGTAAGAATAGAATACCCAGAGTTATAGTTAGTAACACGTACTATTTGATATAAAGAGAAACTTCCTCATCGGATCCATTGTCGTCCGGTGGTTGTAATCGTCCATACACTGAGAGTTTCTTGTTGGACACCGTTACAATGGATGTTGATTCTTTAAGCAAAGAGGTTAAGGAGTGGAAAACCTCAAACAACTCCCACCTGGAATTGGTCGGTTTTGACGCTTCACTGAGGAGGCTAAATTTTCAAGGACAGAATACGGATACAACATTTTATGTTGAAGTCGCACCAGATGACAGTCCGGCGAAATGGGTAATTACATATATATCAGAAAGGCTGATATTCTGTTAGTCATGAGGGTTTTTTTAAATTGCTTAATCTCTAATCAGTTTATTATTCTTGAACATGTTTAATATGCCAAGAATAGTCACAAGATTTATGGCATAAATGTGGTATTAATGTATGAGTGTTTTTTCAATGATTTAAATGTCAGACTAGTTTGAGAGGATCACTCTACCTTATACATTCCGATCTCAGAATCAAAATCATAATCACAATCATCATTACATAGCTGTTTGTCTGGTTGGGGTTCTGCTGAAGTGTATCTTGGGTATATTTCTGTATATATAAACATGAGTGTGGTGTGCTGCTAAAATAGACTCACTTCAATGCCAGGCCAGGATATATTTCGGGAGGACTGGACAATGCTAATATGCTTTAACCCCCTGGGTGCCACAGGGACATATATGTCCTTCCCCTTCAACCCTCAATTTCAAGTCCAATAAAAATCAAAATATCCCACGCACACAAATACACTTCACAGTTTCGAATTCTTCGGGAAATTTCCTGTTTCTTGATACCATCCACTATTATTTTAGACAAAGTTCAAGTGCTGAAAATGACCTTTCAAAATAGGCTTCATCGAAAATGTCGCCATTTTTGACAGAGTACGAAATCGCGATTCACAGCGTTATTTGCTGTATGTTTTGAAATGTGAAAACCGGATAATTACTGGGAGTATTGAATTTCAAAATAACATATTCATGATCACTCATATCAGTTTTACATGAAATCGCTAAGTAAAATTCTGAAACGCTAGTCGATGAATCTAGAATCGGTTGGGATGTTTTCGAAAATGCACTTACACCTAACGCCGTGAGAGCGCTTTCTGCCATATTGGATAGTGTTTACAAAATCACGCTTTCATTGAAGGCCGGTATTGAGACGATATTACATCAATGTTATATTTCATATTCAGCTTCAAAAAATGCATCAATAAACTCCCCATACATTTTAGACTCAAACTGCAAGTGGTCTTTGTCACCAATGCCAACTGTCTAGATAAAATGAGACGAAAACATATTTGGTGTGAAAAGCGAACGCTGTGCTTTCGAAGACTCGCTGGTTGGTTCGAAATGTAAACAAAGACAAAAACCTATTTTTACACTGTGTAGCATTTTCTGAAATTTTCCAACATTCATCCGTCTATTCATTGCTTGCAATGGCTCAATACCTTTGGAATATGCATGGAAAGAGTATCGTAGCAAGAAATGGGAAATTATAAATAGATACAATGCAATGATTTGATAATTCATAAGAAATTGTCAAAGTTTCCGTGGCAGCGTGATCGCCATGACTGGCGGAAAATCGCAGAGAATCCACAACGGTAATTATCTGGATTTCTGTCTTTTTCTCTTACTTTTAGTGAAAACGATAAAACATATAACAATACACAGATAGTCAGAATCATTCTGATTACTTACATCTCATATTTATGGACAAAGCGATCCCTGAATCAATGGAAGGGTCCTCGCGAAAATCCTGTGTACCCTTTGTCAGCAAAGCCGCCATTTTGTAAGAAATCGGTCAGCGGTAGAGTGATGTCATACGTCAACATTGTTGTACATATTAGGCAATTTCTTTGAGGTGAAGGTCGGTTGAACAAGAGTAAACACAATCGCCCAATCCTTCCGATTACACTGTCAGTATTATGGTGTATATTTTGCGTTATAGTTCAGATACTTTTCATGAAACTGACTTCAGTATCCACATTTAGCCTTGTTCAATATCATATCATAATGTGTGATAGGGTTTACGGTGTTTTATTCTTTGAAAGTTTTTGATTGTTTGAATCATATTTACACAGGAAATTGACATATTTAGTGCAATACACCATATTCTAAACCTTTACACAAGTGTTAGAAGATCAAACGTAGCCATAACTGCAATTGCGTTAGTTCCGATGATGTACAATATTCAATGCATTTGGACCAATATTGCAGTTTCACATGAACAGGTTAATGAACGGCGATTTAATTCAACCTTATAAGTAAAACTGATAATATTAATGAAAATGATTTATATATGGTATGAAATGTATATGCACACATATTTAAAGGAATTGTCTTGTTTTTTTATACATTTGTGTGTCGGTTTATAGAGAAAACAATGATGTAAATTGATTGGCCAGGTGCGCTTGTCGGAAACGCTTTTATGATTCACTATCATTGTTTTCGATAATATAATCAATTCATATTCGATTTAAAATATTGTGATGACAGGATATCAAACTCTAACTATATTTATACGAAAATTGTTTAAAAATATATAAACCATGTCATGTCTTAATTTGGACAAATCTTACATCCATATTCTAATATATAGTACGATACTAGTTCCATATATAAAAAACTATCTTTTGCATCTTCCATTGCATACTTATGAAGAGAAATAGCTACATAATCATAAACAAAGAAAATTCTTATCTTAAACAAAATATTCGGTGTTGTGAAATGTTATTTTTCATTTACGTTAAATTGATGCCAAACAGGTGCCGTGTTTCTCACAAAAAGATACACAGTCAAACTGTCTAATTGTTGATATATTCAGGACACTATTTAAATGGAAAAATCAATCATTTTATGTTTTGTCTAAAGAGTCTTAAATTCTGACATAGAAGCGAGGACCTTTCACACAATTAAAGGAAATTAGGTGAGATATGTACTAAACAGCATACCAGTGTCGTTTTTTTCCGACGTCCGCAAAATGCATAAAACAAGCAATGACGTCAACTAAAATGGTGTATTATTTTGAGCAATTTCATTACATTTGAAGATATGGCTAGTACTCTGGTAATAACGATGCAAAATTAGTCAAAATACATCTACACAAACAGGACAATATGGGAATCTAAGAGCTAACTTATATATCGGATAGGGCCATCCAAATCGCTATTACCTGCTTTCACATGTAATACGTTGTCATTTTTCTTGTAAATTGTGAAACTACCAAACTGCATCCGCTCACATTGGGAACTGTGAATTGGGATAGTTTGGTTCACCATGAACATAAAATAACGAAAATATTAGCGTCCAGATCCACAACAAATTCTCTCAAGTGATCTGAGTTACATGGACCTAGTGTTACGCATAACGGAGTTATGCCCCTTATCATTATATGTGTATGAACTCTCTGTCGCCGCTTTTGACGCCATAGAAGAAAATCCATTTTTGACATTTAGTGCGAGGTCATTTTTAATGTTGAGCGTATAACGCTATGCACAAGCACATAAACCCAATTCATATACACTTATGTCGTTCAGATATCAAGCTGTATTTTCTTCGCTAACACTTTCTGCAAAGATGCCACATTAAAAATTCGTAGCACAGTGCTTTTATCGGTGCGCCGATAAAAAGCGGATAAAATTACTGTTTTTTAACGCATAAAAAAAAATTGGACAGCATTTAGCAGTGTCTATTTCTCAAACCGCCGAGGTAGTTGCACTTATATTTATACCAACGGATAGGAAATTTAATATTCTACATTTCTGTGTAATTTTATAGCCGTACGTAGATCCAGGACCACGCGAGCGCAATTCTCGCACAACGATCACTTTTCAAACCGTATGAAAATGTGCGCCTGAAAAAAAACTCGGCAGCCAGGGGGTTAATATGTTAACTCATATATATCAGCAATAGCCTGATAAGGAATAAGACTAATCCAAAAGGTTGAATGTCTAGTGGCTGCCGAACAGTTATCGCCATATTTTAGCGGTATTTACAAAATTACTCTGTCATTCATTAAATTAATGAAACAGAATTCATTATGATACTTAATTAGCTATTCGCCGATGTGTTCAGTTTGTTCACTGCCACAGATTGTGTTTTTATATAACATGGCGGAAGGGAATCATGGCAGTACAAATAGGTGTTTTCTCACAACTAACTGTAACAGTTATCACCATTTCAGAATTTCTCGGACCCATGAAGGTCCGGGTTAAAACATTGATCTTCAGTAACCCATGCTTGTCATAAGAGGTGACTAACGGGATCAGGTGGTCGGGCTCGCTGACTTGGTTGACACATGTCATCAGTTCCCATTTGCGCAGATTGATGCTCATGCTGTTGATCACTGGATTGTCTGGTCCAGACTCGATTATTTACAGAATGCTGCCACATAGCTGGAATATTGCTGAGTGCGGCGTAAAACTCAACTCATTCACTCAATCAGAATTTCTCATGTTATTCATGAAGTATAAAGTAACCTCAAATAATTGATTGTGTGACTAGTTGTGTGTTTTCTTTACAGAAGATTGATACGAAATGAAACAATTAATGACTTTTGTGAATTTGAACTTGCTATTATATAGATTGTGTGACAAACATCATGAAGTAACCATGGCCACTGTACAACACACATGGGTACAATGTGTTAAGCCCATTTCTGGTGTCCCCCGCCGTGATATTGCTGGAATATTGCTAAAAGCGGCGTAAAACCAAACTCACTCACTCACTCACTGTACAACAAGGCAGTCGTAGTGCTACTATAGTCACAAGTTTGTGTTAAAATATTGGAGTTAGGATAGCCTTAGTGCTATGATCTGTTCATGGATCAGGGGCGGTGGGGTAGCCTAGTGGTTAAAGCATTCGCTCAAAGACCTGTGTTCGATTCACCACATGGGTACAATGTGTGAAACCCATTTCTGGTGTCCCACTCACTCACTCACTCATCCGCTCTACTCCACTCCGCTCCTCTCCTCTTCACTCCTCTCCGCTCCGTTCCCCTCCTCTCCACTCCTCTCCACTTCACTCCCTTCCGTTCCACTCCACTCCACAAGGCAGTGGAACACTGTTACACATACGTTTTTATCTTTCATGTACCCGCAGCATTCTGACTATGTTTCAGCATGTGTGGAGTGAAAGCGAGTCGGTGCTGTTGAAGCTGCACCCAAGTATAGAGTCAGTGACAAGTGGCAAAGTGATGTCCCTGTCTGATATCCTCACCTGTTGTTCTAAAGACATAGAGCAGGTAGGCAGACCCTTGCTTCAGTATCTGGTCGTGGTGTATCATGTGGTGCACATTCAGTTCTAACAGTTGTCATAAAACATGGCAACAGGGCCCTCTCTCAAAGCGATCATAGCACTACGACAGTCGTAAGTGTATGTTAAAGTATGGGAGTTACGATCATCTTAGCGCTACAGTCTCTTTGTGGAATGGGGCCCAGGAACATACAGGACATTCCTACACTCTCATGCTGATATGTCCCCTACCCAATGGCTGAGGTGAGCCGTCTGCCTGGTCATGATCACTCAGCATTACTTGCCAGTCAGTACTGTATATCAACTAGGGCTGGCTAAAATGATTGATAATAGGAAACATTATTGATATGAAAAAATATTAATGATTATCGATATGAAAAGTGTTATTGATAATATCGTACATTAACTTTTGTGAAACAAGTGTTAATTTTCTCACACAACACAAAATTAGGTTTTAATTCATGGTCAGCTTAATTCATGGTCAGGACGCTGTTTTGTTAATAGTCAATGCAAAACATGTCGCCACTCACAAGTGATGTGAATTACAGTCAAACCCTGTTGTGTCGAACCCATCGTGATCAAGAGAAATTTTCGACTTATCTGAGTGTTCGACACATCCGTCAGCATAGAAATGACCACGTACCAACACAACCAAAGTACATACCACAGTTGGCTAAACAATAAACATACAAACAATACATCTTTGTAATAAACTTTTATTGCAGTACTGATCATTAAATTGAAATATATAAAAATGTGAATTATTTCAATCACTTTATTTGTCATGACAAATAAATATGCATACAAAAAGATAAGAATACAATGTACATATAATTTAACTCATCAGTGGCCCAGTTTAGTTGACAGCACTATTATTATATATTTTATAATAGTTATTTTTCCCATGACGTTTTTTGTTGTTGTTGAATTAGTTTTTGCAAATAACTGGAGAACAGGATGTTTTTATTACTGAAGATGAAAGTGAAATAGTATTTATAAAATTCAGTATGAACAAAGTATATAACTGGGGAACAGGATGTTTTATAATAGATATTTTTCCCATGAGTTTTTTTCACATGAATTTTGGCTAACTGTATGCCAAGAACAAGGGGGAAGGAGAAAATGATGATGTTCAAGTGTTATCTGTGTACTGACAAACATGTGATTAAGAAATACAGTTCGCTCTACCACCATGTATAGTGTAATAAAACACTCTTTTGCCCTGAACTATTATAGTTAAAGTACGAGGACGCTTGCGTCCGAGTGCTTTAACGTTATAATAGTTCAGGGCTTAAAGTGTGTTTTATTACACTATACATGGTGGTAGAGCTAATTGTATTTCTTTTCTAAGATGCCAAATTTAATACTTTCTAAGGATAATTACGATTAATTTAAGGCAGAAAACAAACGATGGTGTCGGTGACCTAAATTAAGAATCCTCGCACAGGGCTAACTGGCGCGCTGTTCTATTGATGTGTCTGTCCCCCTACGTTAAAACGAATGTTACCAGAAAAAACAAATGATAACAGTTTGATGACGGTTTAAGTTCGGATTAAATATCTTCTCTGAATTATTTTAATTACATCTGTCATTAACGTTAACCATATGGGGCAATATGAACGTCGCATTTCTACTACCAACGTAAGTTTAGATCAGTACATCCAGATGAAGCTGAGTAGTCAAGCGACATTCCACGATTGCATTGTGGGAATGTAAACATTGCGAACGTTACCGTGTCGCTGAAAACTTGTGAGTCGAATTGACACATTTTAACCGTCGTAAAACATAAACGTAATGTTTCCACCAGTGATGTTAGCTGCGTGAAGCAACTGCAAACCAAGAAACGGGATGCAACGGAGTAGTTTACTGTAGGAGGCCGTACGAGGCGATGACAACTGACATGCATCGTGACGTCGCTTACATTGTGACGTAATGTAAAATGGTTCGATTACGAGGGGGCACACTAGAATGGCGCAGTGACGGGATAACGTCATTCAATTGTTACGTCATCAAAAAAACTATACCTTTATTGTCTGATAATGTAATTTTTTTTTCGATTGTTCTAACCGCTAGGCATCTTAGAATGTAAAATAACATGGTACTTGGTCTCATATGTTTGATAGGTACATGTATATATATTATTGTTTTGATAATATTTACAAGTAAATGTGATCTGTTAAATATATGTTGATGTACATGTATATGTTGATGCAATATGTCTTAATTTAAAAATCATTCATTACATGAATTGATAAAACTGTAGTGTGTTGTCTTTTTTATCTGGGCACATACCATTATTATCAAGGGTACAGCTTATGCAACCAATCATAAAATTTGTTGCTATAAGCGGTCTGTCTTTTGGGAGGCTTGTCATGGAAAGATACCCATTCAGAGCTCCAGATAAGATTTAGCTCATGTGGGTACTGTACCCACTGTATTTTTTTAGAGTGGGTATTATGAATGTTGAGTGGGTATTTCATTTTCCGTTACCCACAATTTTCAAATATGTGCGATTTCAGTCATTTTACTCACCTAAGTATGGTGTCATTCAGTCAGTTTACTAAGCAGGTATGTTCTGCCTTATGTCATACCTAATCAAGACCAACTTAAATATAATGGAAATGATTTCATAAAAAATCCCTCATCCTATACTGACAGTACAACACTAGTCCTATACAAACAGTACAACTTGATAGCAATTGATGTCTTTTTCATTGCGCAAGCGATTTTTATAAATATATTCCATACACATTTGTTTTAAACCTTTTGCATATCTAACATTTTTAATGCGTAATTGGTACGCAACAGTTATTTTTCAATGTGTAAATGGAAATTTTCTATGCATATTTTACCCGGATACGCAGCTTATCTGGGCCTCTGCCCATTTATCAGTCAATATAAATTGGGTAATCACATGACCACTAACACAGATGGTCATGTGACAACAGCCTGCACCATTGTTTGTTTAGAGATTTCTTGTTGGTCTGTGATCAAAGTGTCACTGGTAACAAGGTAATTAAGGTTAATTGTGAGAGTAATAAATCAGTTGGTAAGTGTGATGACAATGTGTGTATAGATATGTAGTTAAAGATGCCACTTTTACTGTTGAATCCATTAATCCTCACCTTTGATCTTTTAGTAACACGTTTATGAGCATGACTTTTGATTGTGCGAATGAAGTTTTCAGTTGCAAGAACCATCTCTGACAGTTCGAGACAAAAGAGTAAATTTGTACTTATTATGGTTTTGGGAGACCTTTAAATGAGTTCGACACAACCAGGAATTCGACACATCTAGATTGAGACATCAGGGTAAACATAATGATAAATATAAGGACATCGACAGGGACCAAGAGATGAGTTTGACACAACCAAGAATTCATCTCAACCGTGTTCGAGACATATGGATTCGACTGTATAGTCATTTCTTTCAAAACTGTTTGGCATTTTTGCTCAATGTTACATCTCCGATATTTTTCGATATGTTATGGTTATTTATTTAACGATTATCATTGAATATCAATGTCTATTATCTTATATCGATAGCCAGCCCTGATATCAAACAGTCACATATACATGTCCAGGTTAGAATTAGTCTTGAACAACCCTTGTTTGTTGTATGAGGTGATTAACGGGATTGGATGGTAAGGCTCACTGACTTGATTGATAAGTATCACTGTAAATGCATAGATCAGTTCTCATGATTCATTTACTGGATTATTTCCATGTTGCCATACAGCTGGAACATTGCTGTGTGCAGCATTAAACAAACAAAACGAGAAGAAATCTTCAGCAACCCTAGCATGTCATAAGAGACGACTAACAGGATCGGGTGGTCAGGCTTGCTGACTTGGTTGACACGTCATCGTATCCCCAAAGCATAGATGGATGCTTATGATGTCAATCACTGGATTTTCTTGTCCAGACTTGATTATTTACAAACCACTCTCATACAGCTAGAAACTTGCTGAGTGCTGGCGTTAAACAACAAACAAACAAACAAACATCTCCCCACAAGATATCTTGTACTCAGCTATGTTCACCTCTTCATTGTCTTACTAGTTGTGTGTGTCCCTATTAACACCAGGATAAGAAGGACCAAGATGCTGAAGTAGAGGAGGAGGAAGACGATGAAGACGATGATGATGAAAATGATGATTACTATATTGAGTCTGAGGAGTTCATGGATGACATTCAGGCCACGATCAACACTGGTAAAGAGGAAGGCAGGTAGGTGGACCACATCCTGATCCTTGTTTGGATGAAGGCCCCGAAAGTGTGGGGTTGGTCCGGGGAGGTTTTGGGAGACTTAATTATTTACTACCCTGATGATATTGATGTAATAGTGCTGAATCACAATTGAGGTCTCATTTCTGGTGTCCCTCCCACCGTGATATTGCTGGAATATTGCTAAAAGCGGTGTAAAACTCAACTCACTCACTCAGGCACGCACGCATGCATGCATGCACCCACGCATATACCCCCCCACACACACACACCCAAGCCTACTCTGCTAAGAAGCCTACTTGTTAAAGTTTTACCAACAACCAGAGTTTGACTCCCAACATCAATACAATTAATGAAAGGGGCCGGTGGGGTAGCCTAGTGGTTAAAGCGTTGGCTTGTTACGCCGAACACCCGGGTTCGATTCCTCACATGGGCACAATGTGTTAAGCCCATTTCTGGTGTCCCCCGCCGTGATATTGCTGGAATATTGCTAAAAGCGGCGTGAAACTAAACTCAGTCAGTCAGTCAGACAATTAATGAAGGTGATTTCTGGTGATCCCCTACAGTCCAGACTCCAACATGTTCCATCTATGCTAGTTTCTGTGGTACAGGAGTGATGGGGGTAGCCTAGTGGTTAAAGTGTTCGCTTGTCACGCCGAGACCCAGGTTAGATTTCCCACATGGGTACAATGTGTGAAACCTATTTCTGATGTCCCCTGCCATGATATATTGCTAAGAGTGGCGGAAATCTTACTCACTTTGGTCCAGTGGATAGAGCACCTGCCCAGCAAGTCGAAGGTCTGTTGTTTGATCCCAAGCCATGTCATACATAATGCTCAAGACTTATAAAGACAATGGTTGTTGTTGTCTAGCGTTGTACACATTGGTATTACACATGTGAGATCATTTTGGTTATTGCTGTTGTGTAACAAGTTGAAAGTTATCCAAGGAGTGTTGTGTAACCAAACTAGGTTATTCAACGATAGTGACGTCATAATGCCGAACTGTCTCTTGCCACCTCGATAACTCCATTTAAGCAGTTTTTCACAAAAATTATTAACCAAACAAGGTTTGTCGAAAATGAAAATTCAATCTTAGTGTCTTGGGGATTAGTATCATTTTTCAAATGAATATTTTTATTATTTATTTTCATCTATAAAGTAGTCGAGACAGAGTTATCTCCCTTTCATTTGTTTACATCCAGCAGCATCTGCTTGATTTGTCATCATGGCTCACACTATATTCCCACCCTGTATGTAATAAATAGATCACAAAACTCATGAAAGTTGAATTTTGGAAAATATTCTGACATATTTTTAAACGTTTCAATTTATTTTTGAGCGAATATTCCAACAAGATATTTTTGAACATTTGGATTTATTCACGAGCGAATATTCCAACGAGATATCTTTAAACGTTTTGATTTATTCTTCAAATAAATCAAAACGTTTAAGAACATCTTGTTGGAATATTTTCCATAATCAACTCCCGCTTGTTTTGTAATCTTGAGACATTAAACGTCATTGATCCTCACCTCAGCAAATAGTCAAGGAATGGATTTCTTTCAGTGATGTGGATATGGACGATGAACCAGGATTCTTTGGCCCAATGAACACAGCAACAAGCACTGCCATACAGAGATTGAGGAGAGGTGAGTCATACATGCTCTCAAACATCTGTAAGAGTGAAGCTGAAACACTGAAACTGTTTCGTACTGTATATTACCATAGATAAGCCGAATTCTGAAGACCAAAAAAAGCAGCCTGTAGAAGGGGATCAGCTTATCTACAGGTAACACTTTCATCAAACCTTTTGGCAAGTAAACGACATCGTATCTCTTCGCATGAACGAACAAGACAAAACGTCTTTGTCAATGAAGACGTCAAATTTGCAATTAAACATCACTAGACAAGATTATTTACCTTTTCAGTTCTAATTTGTTTTTGCTTGGAATTGTATTATATGCAGGGATTAAGATTACCGTGTGTATTTGTCTCATATATGGAGCCAGAAATAGCAGGTGTGCACATGTTTCCCGGCGATCTACCAGTGATTTAGTTAAAATATACCCAATAATATAACTAGACCAATTCTGATGCAGTGATCGGAAAAATATAGTATCTAAAACTATTACTTACCAAGAGAAATAAATTCTAGCATTGTGTCATTTTAATTGCAGGTTTTGCTCTATAAATGTAAAATATTTATAATCATAACTATTACCGGTGTGCACAGCTGATTGCTATTTCCGGCTTTGTGTACGAGACAAATACGCACGGTAATCTTAATTAATTTATAGAGCAAAAACTGTAACTAAAATTACACAATGCTAGGATATATTTCTTTGGGTTAAATAACGGTATTCTGTATTATATTTTACTGATGACTGCGTCAGAATTTGTCCCGTTATATTATTGTGCATGTTTGAACTTGTTCGCCGGGAAACGTGTGCACAGCTGATTGCTATTTCCGGCTTTGTGTACGAGACAAATACGCACAGTAATCTTAATCCCTGCAAATAAAACAATGCCCAGCAAAAACAACTTATAACTTAAATGGTAATTAATCTTGTCTAGTGATGTTTAATTGCAAATTTGACGTCTCTACTGACAAAGTCGTCTTCTGTTGTTTGTTCACGCGAAGTGATACGATGTTGTTTTCTTACCCCTGGAAAAAAGTTTGACGAAAGTGTAACTCATGGATAAGACGACCCCCTTCTACAGACTGCTTTTTTTGGTCCTCAAAATTCGGCTTATAGACGGTCATATACGGTAGGTTACGCGGCAGCACTTTGGTGTATTGCCGGACAGTTTTATGCATGCATCACTGATGTGGTTTCTCGCGATCTCGCTGTTTCCACCGCGAAAAGAGTATGTCGACATGTGATCATCCAGGTAGATATTTCATTAAAATATGGCTAAATACACCTTTGTTATACATGAGGCAGATGTTTGTGCAAAATAGTTTGGATTGTTGAAAATCATTTTAGAATATCACTTGACAACTGATTATATGTAACACATGTTATATTTGAGATTACACTCTTTCAGTAAAGTACAGATTCTAGTACTTTTGTTGGGTTGCTGGCAATTAGGTGCCTGATTCTTGAGTGTGGGTTCGAATCCTGGATGGGACTCAACCTAACCTGTAGAATCTGTACTTTACCGAAAAAGTGTAATCCCAAATATAATGTTTACCGAATACGATTAATATAATAATAAATAAATAAAAGTTATATTAAGCAATTTAAATGTAAGAGTGTGGCCAGGACATTAAATGTAGATCTGAAAAAGAAAATTCTTTATGTGATTTCACTTATTGTTTTCAGATTTAAAGAATATTCTCAAAGTTGGCCCAGAGTATGGCATTGTGGCAAACCCAAGGGGAGACAACTTGTTTATGTGGGTGAGTCAAACAGTAATTTAAGTATGTGATGCTTGACTTGCCTGTGTAACTTAAAGCATAATTGATTTTGGGAGACATATGATACACATAGAGTTCTCCTGCTTTGTTCAGTGTCATTGAATTTGAACGGTTGGCAATGTTAACAGTGCTTGGAGATAGAGGAATATGGATGATGGTATTTAGTTGGAAATGTGGACATGGTAATAGGGATGGATTGATGAAATGATTTGAAATGGGAGCAGATGGATGGTTGGTAATGATTGGGGATATAGATAGGGTGGATGGTTGTTGAGGACTGAGATGTTTTTTCGGGGTGGATGGAATGAACAGTGGTTGGTTTGGTTGGTTTGTTGTTTAACGCCAGCACTCGGCAGTATTCCAAGTATATGGCTGCGGTCTGTAAATAATTAAGTCTGGAAACACAATTCCATGATCACCAGCATGAGCATCAATCTACGCAATTGGGATTCGATGACACCCGAACCCTTTAGTCACCTCTTACGACAAGGGGCGGTGGGGTAGCCTAATGGTTAAAGCGCTGGCTCGTCACGCCAAAGACCCGGGTTCGAATCCCCACATGGGTACAATGTGTGAAGCTCATTTCTGGTGTCCCCCGCCGTGATGTTGCTGGAATATTGCTAAAAGTGGCGTAAAACCAAACTCTGTCAGTCAGTCAGTCTTACGACAAACATGGGTTGTTGAAGACCAATTCTAACCCGGATCTTCACAGGTTGAATGAACAGTGATGATAATAGGGGTGGATGTAAAGATTGGTAATTGTCCCCCGCCGCAACGTGGAAGTGGGGACTATGTATTCACAGCATCCGTCCGCCAAATGCGTCCGATTCTTGCGATATCGCATGGACTGTTGTACGATTCTTGTTAACGCAACAGTTGATATCTCATGAACTGTTGTACCCAAAGTCTTCAAATTTGGTGACAGCCTACATTGGGGATTACCCAGACACACCAGACGATTTGGGTGACCTGGAATGTTGACCTTATCTTCAAGGTCACCACGCTACACTTTGACCGCCAAACTTGATTTAAACTTATTTAATATCTCATAAAACATTGCACCCAATGTTTTCAATTGTTGACAGCCTACATTGGGTGATTATGCAGACACGCCATTTCAGGCATCATGTATGTGACCAAAAAATAAAAAGTAGTAAATATAGATATTCCATTCTTTAGCAGTGGGGACATTGCCATATCAGTGGCAAACACTTGTTGCAACAGTTGTGGGATGTAATGATCGGTGATTCTAACAGTAACAGTTGTGGATGGTGATTGTAACAGTTGTGGATGTAATGATTTGTGATTGTAACAGTTGTGGATGAAATGATGATTGTAACAGTTGTGGTAATGTGGTGGATGTAATGATTGGTGATTGTAACAGTTGTGGATGTAATGATTGGTGATTGTAACAGTTGTGGATGTAATGATTGGTGATTGTAACAGTTGTGGATGTAATGATTGGTGATTGTAACAGTTGTGGATGTAATGATCGGTAAGGTAGGCTGGATTAATGACTGGTGATGTAATGGTTGTGGATGTGATTGGTGATTGTAACAGTTGTGGATGTAATGATTGGTGATTGTAACAGTTGTGGATGTAATGATGGTGATTGTAACAGTGATTGTAACAGTTGTGGATGTAATGATTGGTGATTGTAACAGTTGTGGATGTAATGATTGGTGATTGTAACAGTTGTGGATGTAATGATTGGTGATTGTAACAGGTGGATGTAATGGATGTAATGATTGGGATTGTAACAGTTGTGGGATGTAATGATGTGATTGTAACAGTTGTGGATGAAATGATTGGTGATTGTAACAGTGTAATGACTGGTGATTGTAACAGTTGTGGATGTAATGATTGGTGATTGTAACAGTTGTGGATGTAATGAATGATTGGTGATTGTAACAGTTGTGGATGAAATGATTGGATGTAACAGTGTGGATGTAATGATTGGTGATTGTTGTGGAACAGTTGTGGATGTAATGATTGGTGATTGTAACAGTTGTGGATGTAATGACTGGTGATTGTAACAGTTGTGGATGAAATGATTGGTGATTGTAACAGTTGTGGATGTAATGACTGGTGATTGTTGTAACAGTTGTGGATGTAATGATTGGTGATTGTAACAGTTGTGGATGAAATGATTGGTGATTGTAACAGTTGTGGATGTAATGATTGGTGATTGTAACAGTTGTGGATGTAATGACTGGTGATTGTAACAGTTGTGGATGTAATGACTGGTGATTGTAACAGTTGTGGATGGTGAAATGATGTAATATTGTAATTGTAACAGTTGTGGATGTAATGATTGGTGATTGTAACAGTTGTGGATGTAATGACTGGTGATTGTAACAGTTGTGGATGAAATGACTGGTGATTGTAACAGTTGTGGATGAAATGATCGGTAAGGTAGGCTTTAAAGTTGGATGATGACATGTGGATATAGTTGAAGGTGTCCACTTGGCTTTGGTGAAGTGGAAGACATGGATACTTTCTAGGAATTTATATGGACCGCTTCAATCAAGGAGCATTGGTTCATCTCTTGTTGACCGCCTCCGTGGTGTAGTGGTTAGAGATCCGCCCGGAGAGCGGAAGGTCACGGGTTCGATCCCCGACCGCGTCAAACCAAAAAGACGTTAAAATATGGTACTTGTTGGTCCCTGCCTGGCTCTCGGCATTAATGGGTACAACAAGGACTGGTCGACTCGGAGTCAGTATAATGTGTCTGAGTGGGGTATTCGTGCTTCACTGCGGCATGGTATCTCAGTGGGCTAGCGCTATAAAACCAGCTTCGGTCTGGGCTAGTACAAGCAGCCGCACATACACATACACACGCATGCACGTCGTCATATGAGCGAAATATTCTCAAGCACGACGTTAAACCCAATTTCACCTCACCTCATCTCTTGTTTCCCTGTTCCAGGATGTAAAGCTGACTGATGTCCCGACCGACAGTCGCCTCGGCAAAGATCTCCAGCAGTACTCAACCAAATACAAGCAGGAGGTAGGTGTTGCTGTGACAACAGCCCTTTTGTAGCTGTAGTGAAGCCTCATTCGGACGGTGCCTTCAAATTGAACAAATTAGCACTATAAGTGCTTTTTCTATATATTTTTATTATATATTATTTATGCATATTTTGTTACAAACTTGTCACTATTGGGTTGAACTGATGTTAAAATGCAAAGTTTAACATTCATATTTTTATTTAGGAAAATTCATCATAAACCTGAAAGCATTTCAGACATTTTGTGATTAGTGCTGTAAATGCAATCATCACTGGTCATGGTTGTCATAGTAACCACAGTGTATGAACTAATGGCCTTTGTGTAACAGCCGGTTGTGACGCTGGACATGCAGTTTTCTCAGGACTATCCCTTCGAGATGCAGTTTCAGACCACGCTTCAAGTATCCCTTCGCACCACCATTCATCAGAGTCATCAGACCACGCTTCAAGTTCCTGACAGGTAGGTACCCACCATTCATCAGAGTCATCAGACCACGCTACAAGTTCCTGACAGGTAGGTACCCACCATTCATCAGAGTCATCAGACCACGCTTCAAGTTCCTGACAGGTAGGTACCCACCATTCATCAGAGTCATCAGACCACGCTTCAAGTTCCTGACTTCAAGTTCCTGACAGGTAGGTACCCACCATTCATCAGAGTCATCAGACCACGCTTCAAGTTCCTGACAGGTAGGTACCCAGCCATTCATCAGAGTCATCAGACCACGCTTCAAGTTCCTGACAGGTAGGTACCCGCCATTCATCAGAGTCATCAGACCACGCTTCAAGTTCCTGACAGGTAGGTACCCACCATTCATCAGAGTCAGGTACCATGCAGAGTTCCACAGGTAGGTAGTACTTCAAGTTCCTGACAGGGTAGGTACCCATCCATTCATCAGAGTCATCAGACCACACTTCAAGTTCCTGACAGGTAGGTACCCACCATTCATCAGAGTCAGACCACGTTCCCCTGACAGGTAGGTACCCACCATTCATCAGAGTCATCAGACCATGCTTCTTCCTGACAGGTAGGTCCCCACCATTCATCAGGTCATCAGACCACAGACACCTGACAGGTAGGTACCCACCATTCATCAGAGTCATCAGACCACGCTCCAAGTTCCTGACAGGTAGGTACCATTCATCTTCATCAGACCAGCTTCAAGTTCCTGACAGGTAGGTACCACCACATCAGAGTCATCAGACCACGCTTCCAGTTCCTGACAGGTAGGTACCCGCCATTCGTCAGAGTCATCAGACCAAGTTGTCAGCAGTTTTGTGGGTAATTGTTTTAATCCCACCCATACATGCCTCATTATGTTTCTCTGTTCTTTGACCTTTGACCTCTAGCCCCTTTTGGCATATCTCTGTCTATTCCAGGTCATGTGACAATTGGAGGCAGTATTTGCATGGAGATGTTGACCAAGTCGGGTTGGGTTCCGTCTAATGACATTGAGGTGAGACATTACTATGCCTATAGTGTTTTTCTGATATCGTTGGGGAGGAGAGGAGGAGAGTTGAGTAGCCTAGTGGTTAAAGTGTTCACTCATCACACCGAAGGCTCAGGTTCAATTCCCCACATGGGCACAGTGTTTGAATCCCATTACTGGTGTTCCCAGCCATGATATTGCTCTAATATTGCTTAAGGCAAATATATAATTGGGTCTGAACCAGATAGACTAGTAATGAGCATCAATTCACCCAATATGATTACATGAATGACCTAGTCAAACTACCTAATTCCATTAGTCACCTCTAAAGAAAGCATGGTGTTGTTGCTCAAAATCATTCTTGGTGCTTTTCTACTGTCCTACTGCGGGAGAATATGGCTCACTTTAGTAATGTGGTATAGATGATTACTTTCGCATGGAGAATATAGTCACATTTAATCAATATTTCATGCTCTTGTCTGTAACTTCAAGTCGAGAAATGTATTTGTTTCAATCTCCTCATATTTGGTGCCAAGTAATAATAGTGATAGACAGGGTGTGTGAGTGAGTATGGTTTTACACTGCTTTTAGCAATATTCCAGCAATATCACAGTGGGGGACACCAGAAATGGGCATCACACATTATACCCATGTATGGAATCGAACCCGGGTCTTCAGTGTGACGAGTAGATGCTTTAACCACTAGGGTCTCCCACCACCTGGGTCTCCCACCACCCGGTCTCCCACCACCGGATCTCCCACCACCCGGGTCTCCCACCACCCAGGTCTCCCACCACCCAGGTCTCCCACCACCCGGATCTCCCACCACCCGGGTCTCCCACCACCCGGATCTCCCACCACCCAGGTCTCCCACCACCCGGGAGACACCACCACCCGGGTCTCCCACCACCCGGGTCTCCCACCACCCAGGTCTCCCACCACCGGGTCACCACCACCCGGATCTCCCACCACCAGGTCTCCCACCACCCGGGTCTCCCACCACCCCGGGTCCCCACCATCTCCCCACCACCCCTGGGACCACCCGGGTCTCCCACCACCCAGGTCTCCCACCACCCAGGTCTCCCACCACCCAGGTCTCCCACCACCCGGGTCTCCCACCACCCAGGTCTCCCACCACCCGGGTCTCCCACCACCCAGATCTCCCACCACCCGGGTCTCCACCACCCGGATCTCCCACCACCCAGGTCTCCCCACCACCCGGTCTCCCACCACCCAGGTCTCCCACCACCCGGGTCTCCCACCACCCAGGTCTCCCACCACCCGGATGTCCCACCACCCGGATGTCCCACCACCGGGTCTCCCACCACCCAGGTCTCCCACCACCCGGGTCTCCCACCACCCGGGAGACACCACCACCCAGATCTCCCACCATCCGGGTCTCCCACCACCCAGGTCTCCCACCACCCAGGTCTCCCACCACCCGGATCTCCCACCACCCAGGTCTCCCACCACCCGGTCTCCCACCACCCAGGTCTCCCACCACCCGGATCTCCCACCACCCAGATCTCCCACCACCCAGGTCTCCCACCACCCAGGTCTCCCACCACCCGGGTCTCCCACCACCCGGGTCTCCCTCCACCCGGGTCTCCCACCACCCCAGCATCACAATAACCTAACATAATAACTACTTGGTCAGAAATATACACAACTGATAATGTTTCTTGTGACCATGGTTACAGAGCATCTTGGTTCAAGTGAGAGCGGAGATCATGTCTGATCCAAATGCCAGCCTGGACAGCTCCAGACCTAATGATGCCTACACAGAACGTGAAGCCCGCGATGCTTTCAACAGAATGGTCAGCAGGTATGGCTGGAACAAATGAAAGGGTCACATGACCAGGACAGACTTCCTGCAAGACAGCCACCTGGACATCACGATCATGTTCATCTAATCAGTCGCCATGGCAACTCCCTGCAGTGACTTGCATTGTCCAGGTGTTGTCGTACCAAAGCTCTCATTTTTTACATCGATGGCTGTCTGTCCAAGCCTGTGGAAGACTTTAAACTGTGATATAGACAGGGAGCATTCATACCACTTCATGTCTACTAGATATGCCATGACTGCATCAAATATACACATGACAATACCATCCAAGAATACCAGCAATTCTGTGTCAATTTTGAAAGAGTATTATTTTCAATAACTGAGTCAGATAACTATCAACTATTTAGGCTAGCATTGCCTTACTGCCTGTCACAAAGATAGACCTACACGTGTTTCAATTCTGTGTCGATTTCAAATGGTATTATTTATAATAACTGAGTCAGATAACTATCAACTATTTAGGCTAGCATTGCCTTTCTGCCTATCACAAAGATAGACCTACACGTGTTTCAATTCTGTGTCGATTTCAAATGGTATTATTTATAATAACTGAGTCAGATAACTATCAACTATTTAGGCTAGCATTGCCTTACTGCCTGTCACAAAGATAGACCTACTGATGTCTCAATTCTGTGTCGATATTTAAAGAGTAATGTTTTCAAAACTGAGTTGGATAACTTTTCATGCTATCATTGCCATACTGCCTCTCTAAATTCTAAATGCAGTCACTCAGAATGAGCCCCAAAACAGTCATGCATGGTAAACACAAACTGCTTGACGGTAAAGTTGTACTGGGATGTACTGGGACTTTGTATCAAGCATTGCAGTATGTATCGGTACTGAAGTAGGTGTATCATGACATCTCTACTGTCTACAACTGTAGAATACAAACCCATTATGACTATCACTCATGATTGTACGCATAGAGTTACTATGTTGTTTACATACGCTGAACATAAACCGTTGTGAATGCCTGCAGGTGTAAATATTGTTCCTGCTGTATAGGATGTTTTCTACTGTAAGACAGGAAGTGTTCCACAAAGTGTTTGAATTCTAAAGGTACATCATTTTCCTTCCACTTCTCCTTAGGGAGGCATCCATCTGATTTACAGATTAAGGAAGGGAAGCAGGGAGGATATATATTTTTCCTTATCCTGACTCATGCTTATTGCTTGTCTTCTTCCTCTTGCGAACCTAGTGGAACACTTGTATCTCCTTATTGAAGCTCCCTTCAATAAAACATACATAAAATCATTACTCACCAGAGTTATCCCTGTTTCCGTTTTGGCGAACAGTGGCGCCACTGTTCTCCCACGCTTCACTCTCTCCTGATTATGAGCCCGACACTTTTTAACCTAGCTGAGTCGAACAAAGTCTTTACTGACTGAGAAGTCAAACAATTTATTCATTTTCACTATTAAAACAAAAATTGTTGACTTTGGGGTATTTTCTTCCAAACAAACTAGTCAATTTTTCCTCACTTATAACAAACTATTTATTTTTCGGATATTTCCTATGTAAATTTGGGATGTTCCTCTTTGAATGTCAACTGAAAATTAAACTCTGTTTTGTTTCACACATTTTGGTGAGAGTTCATTTTACAATAATGTAATAGTTTGTGTAATAAAATGTACAAGCCTGTTGTTATGGTGTATGTACTGTTGACCAGCCAGTTTTTACGAACTCACTACTTATCTGGCCGTTAGGATTGATTAGCTAATTGTGATTTCTCCAGATATTCTCCAGACTGTCCAGATATTTGTGTTTCTGCGACATAAACCATTATTATCGACCAGTTAATTGTTTTATTTCTGTTTACAGTCCAGGATGTTATTTGCCATCTTTCACAGACAGTTATGTCTCAACTCAGGCGTTGGGGTAGCCTAGTGGTTAAAGCGTTCACTCATCATGCCGAAGACTCGGGTTGGATTCCCCACATGGGTACAAAGTGTGAAGCCCATTTCTGGTGATATTGCTGGAATATTGCTAAAAACAGTGTAAAACTAAACTCACTCACTGACCAGATGACAGAGACTCACTACAGAAAGCCTTCATATTGGTTAACTTGACTATGTAATGGCCGTTACTATTTCCACCCTGTGAACAGTGCAGATATCCTTACAATACTTCTACATGATATATATTACTATACTTCCCATCAAAAGTTTAGACTCACTTAAATCACTCACTATATGTTATGTATACATAAGGTTACATCGAAGATAAATTTCTCCGCTATCTTGGGGGAACCAACTGCAAACCTTATGCAGATGAATCATGCATCAAATTGATGAAAAGCATGTGCAAATGTAGTGCATGTGAACAGCTGCGGTTTGGTGTAAAGTTCTGTTTAAAATTCGCCAATTTTTACTGAGTTTCATCATTTATTGAACTCATGATAATAATCTTTTCAACGTTACGAATTTGTTTTACAATACACCAGTATGAGCATATTTTTCTCTTTTTATGAAAGTATGTATTTGAGATATTGCTCTGTTCACCCAACAGTAAATGTGTAACAGTTATGATGAGACTGCAGTTTAGACAGTTATGATGAGACTGCAGTTTTGACAGTTCTCATCACAGGCAGCTTGAGTTGTATACTCCCCAGGAAGCTGAGACTAAACATCCAATACACACTGTTTCAGTTACTGCGGTGCCAATGTATTGCTCTGAGCTTGCTTTAGGCAAGACAGGGCGGTGGGGTAGCCTAGTGGTTAAAGCATTCGCTTGTCGTGCCAAAGACCTGGGTTTTATTCCCCACATGGGTTCAATGTGTGAAGCCCATTTTGGGTGTTCCCCGCAATGATATAGCTGGAATATTGCTAAAAGCAAGGTAAAACCATACTTACACTCACTCACTTTAGACATGAATTTGGTGCATCATAGATAAAATACTGTGCACATTATCTCCCATTGTAAGAACATTGTTTGGTTGTTATTTCCTACCTCATTTGAGCTCCTTCTTTGTTGTAATATCCATTCCATGTGTTACCTCATCATCGCTGTTGATGTGGGCCTGTCCAAAATTCTACTATAGTTTTATCTATTAGGCCAGACCAACTTTATTTCTTGTTTTACGGTTTTGTACTCAGAAAACCTAAAGGCAGGAGGGAAAAAAAATAAAAATAAAAATAAATAAATACTAAATGTATTTTACTTTTGGCAATTTATGAAGTGTATATGGGGCAAAATACAATCTAAAAAAATAACATTTTTCTTGTTAATTTACATTTTTGACCAATAAAACATTAGGATTTTATTTTTTGAGCAGGAAAATTAACTACTTCTTTTTTCTTATTCTTGAAAAAAATACGACTGGCAGATCCGTAAAACAAGAAATAAACTTGGTCTGGCCTTAGTATAAAATAATGAATTTTTAATTGAAAAATCTAACATGGCTGCCAGACATATAAAATCCAAAAATACAACCTCCATACAAAGGCCAGGCTAATACTAAATGGTATTTGTTCACTGGACCTTTGGGTTGTTGGGGTTTTTTGTCATTTTTATGTTAGCCTACTAACTGGGAGGTACCTTTGATCTGGACATGATAACATTCAGATCTCATTAAAATCAGATCTGAGTTCTTGCTAACACTACACAGTTCTGATGCACATAAAATTGCTAGATATCTATCTAATCTCTGTGACAAGATAAGGAAGTCCAGTTTACTTATTCATGCACACATTCTGGAATATTGCAGAACCAGGTTAGCGACCTTCAGTCATTGTGTAGCTGCCCCACATGGGTACAATGTGTGAAGCCTATTTCTGGTGTCCCCTGCAGTGATATTGCTGAAGTGGTGTAAAACTGAACTCACTCACTCATTTTGTAGCTAATGGAGGCCTTTAAGATCTTAGTTCGGTACTGGTATGTGTGCTTTTTGTTTTCAATACTTTCTGACCCATGAAGATCTGGGTTAGAATTGATCTTCAGCAACCCATGCTTGTCGTAAGAGGCAACTAACGGGATCGATGGTCAGGCTCGCTGATTGGTTGACACATGTTTTCGCATCCCAATTGTGTAGAATGATGCCTATGATGTTGATCACTGAATTGTCTGATCCAGCCTCAATTATTGACAGACCACCATACAGAGCTGGAATATTGCTGAGTACGGCGTTAAAAACCAACCAACCAACATTACATTCTGAAAGTGCTGTTGAATGATGAATTAATTACTAGAAGTCAACTCTCTCCAGATCAACTTCAAAATTCAGACTTTATTTAGCCTCTGTTGCAGTTTTTGTGAAACACAGATAACAAAAGTATAAAAGGTAACTGACATCTGTGTTGTAGTCCAAGTCTGTCATACAGACCCTGAAACAAATACACCCAATGCAGCCCATGCAAGTCATGAGTGTGTGGCAAGTCTAGATCACAGCAGTTTCAGGGTGTAAATGAAGAAAATCACCCTGCTCCTTTTTATTGTATTTTATTAACATAATTTAGAAACCTTTTTTTCTCCTGTAAAATATACTGAGGGAAAAAAAAGGTATCACATGAAAGCACAAGTGTTCCTTTATATTTTTTTCCACTTTTTTCACAAGTGTTGTATCGCATAGCTTGTGAAGAAACCTCGAAACATATAAAGGAACATTTGTGCTTTCATGTGATCCTTATTTTTTTCCCTCAGTATATATTCATTTCAGAGACTAGATGTTAGTCTATTGTGGACAGTTCAGTCACAAATCAATTACCCTCCATGTTTAGTCAGCAAGATAATCATGTTTGATGGTATTTTGTCTTCACTATGTACTGACATGTACGGTGTGACAACAACTCTCGTGCCCATCGCTGGTGGGAAATCAAGAATATTATCATTGAGGGAAATATGAAAAGAAAAATACTTCCATCTTTGTCATAAGAAATCGCTTCATTAAAATATAATCATGTATTTATTCATGTCTAAATATCAACTTTTCTGTAGTTTATTTATTGTGGCCTAAATATGAACTTTTCCCATAGCCTAGCAACCTTTTAGTTGGAGAAGTATGTACCGATTAAATTGACAGTTCCTCCTACCCTTAATTAGTTGATCTGCAAATTTGTATATAGACGATTTCACTCAGAATATTAAGTATGCAAGGATTAAATGTAAGTACAAAATATGAAATTGTAAATACAAATGTTGTGTGGATCTGGTGGTTTTTAAAAATAAAATAAGTTAAAACCAGTGATGTGGTGATATCACCTTGACAACCAGTGTGGTTTACACCTGAGGTGATGCTAAGGTGTCCTTGCCGCCTCAGTGGGGGAAGTTGTGTTCCTTCAGAAACTTAAGATCTTGGGCTGGAATCGCCTGTTTATGTCTATAAGTTTGTCATCACCATATCCGTGCTGTTTTGACCAAAATGGTGAACCTCTGAGAACTGAAAAAAATGTTTAAAACCCTCATTATACCAAAACCATTCCAGAAGCTTAAAAATCTTTTTTCAGAGATAGGGCACTAGAAGTACAAAAAATGCTAAAGTACTTTAGCACATGGCTCAGGGTTTTTGGCAAAAATAGTCAGTTAATATAAATTTTGTAATATATGATTTAATTATATATTTTAGTACAACTGCGTGGTTAGTTTAATCGATATGAGGGTGGGGGCCCTCTGCATCCTTGCAGATTCACCCCCTCTGGATCGCCTATGCCGCATCAAGGGCATGTGTTTGGGGGATACCCTGAATCTGCTTACTGTGTCCATACATACCATGGTTGGGTACTACAGGACTCTTGAAAGTCATTGAATAGATGGACCAACCACTCTCCCCGCTGACCGTCCTCCTACACCATGCTATCCAGCCTCATCACTGTCCTAACATAGCAAGACCACCTCTAGTAATTTGTGGGTAAACCCTTGTATATTATTCAAAAGAACTTATGAACACATGCTCCTTTCATATGTCTATAGTTAATCTGTCCTGCCATGACGCCTGGTTCATTCTGGTAATTAATCTGTCATGCCACATCCTATTCTTTCATACTGTACAGTTACTCTTTCATGGCATGACAGATGGCATAGTAATATGAAAGGACCTGTGTTCTTTAACATCTTTTGAGTTGTATACTCTGTCTCCATTCTGTTTTGATAAAAGACATGGGCCCTTTCGCCATCTTAGCTTCATTTCGGAAGTGACGTCACCGTCTCTGCCTGTATGTTCTTCATATTCACTAGCAAGACACAATTTGTCTCTGGAAAATAAGTTTATTGGAGGGCCATTTTTTTAATCTGGTTGAAAATGAAAAGATGATAACAAATGGGACCAGGTTATTTATCATAACAGATTGGAGATTACGAAGACTGTTGTAGGTCCATTCTGTTTGGGTTCCTGTGCGTGTCTGTTCTGGGCAGTGTTGATCCTTTTTTTTTCTTTTCTTTTTTTTTCATCTGTGACTTTATCATGTAATTTTAATGTAATTACTTACATTGTAATAAAATACGTTTTTATTAGTGAGTGTTCTTACATGTTGGCCTCATTGGGATTCCTGGTGAGAATTCGTCTCTAACGAACACCCTCTTGTCTGTCATACTAACCCTGAAACAAATATACCAAATACGGCCCATGCAAGTCTAGAATGTGTGGCTTGTCTAGATTACTGCATTTGCAGGAAATCACTAGGCTCACCACTCAGCTTATGGCGTGTCATCGTAGCTTGAGATTGATCAAAATATCAACCAATTACGTGAATGCCGCCGTCATGTAACTTGAATATTGCTGAGCGCGGCATTAAACAATGCACATTCACGTGCACACAGTTCTATTGAAGGGGAGTGTTGTGTGTAAGACAATTCAGTGGCAGTAGAAACTGTTGTCAATATATGGAACTGATTGTCATTGGCAGCAAAGAACTGAGTTTCTATTACCAAAACACGTGCGATTGTGAGCTGATGTCAACCGGGTTTTTTTCTGGATAGGACAGTGTCAACCATAAGATAGCAGGATATGAGCTGGCCTATATGAGCTGACTAGTTTTTTAAACGTCTTCAGGGGCAGTGAGGTGGCTTAGTGGTTAAAGCGTTCGCTCGTCACGATGAAGACCCGGGTTCGAAACCCCACATGGGTACAATGTGTGAGGCCCATTTCTGGTGTCCCCGCCGTGATATTGCTGGAATATTGCTAAAAGCGGCGCAAAAATTACTCTCTCACTCACACTTATATGTACTATTGTACACTGCTCAACTTCACCTGTGTTTATCTATATAAATTATGCATGCCCCTAAGATCACTCTAAAGTCACATCGCCGTGCAGTTGGAATAAACAAACAAACAAAAGTCACTACTCCACAGCTTCCACCCCGCCACAGAATACAACGTGCATACATGTTTGTATGTGAGTAATCTGTCTCTGTTGTATGTCCAGGATGTCCTAATGATACGGTGAATACCATCGCCTACACACTGTCACTATGGTTGTGTGGGATATGACAAGTAAACCGGACCTACCTATAAAACATGGATGTTGGTTTGGCTATGCGTCAAATGCAGACATATTGCATGGCACACATACAACACATATCCTTAAACATAAAATCTGAACTATTTTTCATAGTTTACTTAGGGGCGGTGGGGTAGCCTAGTGGTTAAGGCGTTCGTTCGTCATGCCGAAGATCCCGGGTTCGATTCCCCACATGGATACAATGTATGAAGCCCATTTATGGTGTCCCCCGCCGTGATATTGCTGGAATATTGCTGAAAGCGGCGTAAAACTAAACAACCAACCCACAGATCAGGTCATACATTAGATTGGATATAACGTCCAGTGACAATCTCATAGACTGTGTTAGAGTTGAGGACAAACTTATATCTGACCACCATGCTGTGTTTTCTGTGTTGAACATGGAGAGTCCTGATTTGGAGAAATCAATCCGATCATGCAGAAATCTTAAAACTATTGATAGAGATACATTTTCCTCCGATCTCTCGCAGACCCTCACGTCTGAGTCCAACAAAGGTGATGCATCTGACTTGACTCAACACTACAACACTGCTCTCCGTACAGTCCTGAATAAACATGCTCCAATCAAACAGAGGCTGTGCTTGGTATTGTGAGGCTGTACGAGAAGCCAAACGTCTCAGACGGCGTGCTTAACGGAAGTGGAGAAAAACAATTTTAGTTGTACACCGCCAGATATATCAGTCACTTTGCAATAAGGTCTCAAAGACAATAGAGCACAGTAAGAGAGAATTCTACAGGCAGAAAATCTCCAGTCTCCAAGGAAAACCACGTGAGCTTCAAAAAGTTTTGAATTCTAATCAGGGCTAAAAAGGTGAAGATATACTTCCAGATATTTCAGATCCTATTGCTCTCGCTGAGTCGTTTAATGAGTTCTTTAAAGACAACATCCTGGATATCAGACAAGTCTGTCTTGTCGTGGATCAGCTGTATCACCAGCAATCCGTACCCCAAGGATCGCCTCTCCTTGATTTTCAACCCTTTTCTTTATCTGATGTGAAATCACTTATCATGGAATCGAATAAGACCACTTGTGCCTCGGACCCTATGCCAACACAGCTTGTTGTGGATCATTGAGATTGCCTACTTCCGGTCATCACAGATATCATAAACAGAAGTATTTCAACTGGCACATTTCCTCAATCTTTGAAAAATGCAATCGTCAAACCTCTGATTAAAAACAACAAATTGGACAGTTCACAGCTGAAAAGCTATCGACCTGTGTCGAATTTGTCATTTCTATCGAAACTCATTGAAAAGGCTGTAGCAAAGAGGCTGATGGAACATCTCTGATCAGTGACTTGAGAAATATTCTGGATTCCGTGAATTTGGCTGCCCTTGTGTTCATTGATTTGAGTGCAGCGATTGACACTGTAGAACACGAACAGCTATTAGAAATCCTGGATTTGCAAGTTTGAGTGAGAGGAACTGCTTTGAGGTGGTTTCAGTCTTTTCTGAGTGGTCTGAGCCAAGAAGTGTCAGATAAGGGTGTTACTTCATCTAGACTTGAGTTAGCTTATAGGGTTCCTCAAGGGTCGGTCCTTGGACCGATTCTGTTCCTGCTTTATGTGAACTCGCTACCAGCAGTTATCAACAAGCACGGTTGCAGCCACTGTGGATATGCCGATAACACTCAGCTCACTACCATCTTGAGACGGAGCACACTTCTGGAAGACCTTCAGATTGTTGATGACTGTGTGTCCGACATAAAGAGATGGATGACATCTAGAAAGCTGCAGCTCAGTGACAGTGAGACTGATCTGTTGATAGCCGGCAGCCATAGGCAGCTGCAGGGAGTATCAGTCTCTGGTGTCAAGGTGGCATCCTTTGGCATTCAACCCTCCTCTGTTGCCAAAGACCTTGGTGTGTACATCGAATCTAATCTTTCACTTGATGCCCACATTAACTATCTACGTAAAGTCTGCCATCACCATCTCAGAATCATTAGCTCAATCCGCCGATACATCACCACAGACTGTGCCCATACATTAGTAAGATCTCTTGTGCTTACTAGACTTGACTATTGCAATAGCCTCCACGCTGGATTGAACTCTATGCAAATACAGAACCTCCAAACAATTCAAAACACTGCTGCCCGTATTGTATGTCTGAAATCTAAGCGAGATCACATCACTCCACCTCTCATTTTCCTACATTGGCTCACTGTTAAGTACCGTGTGAACTTCAAAATCCTGTGCCTTGTATATAAATGTTTCCACAGTCAAGCTCCAGAGTATCTGTCTGAACTCCTTACACTGTACACCCCTGCGAGATGTCTAAGATCCCAGAATCAGCACTTACTTACAGTCCCTAAAGTCAGACTTGTCTCCTATGGCCAGAGGACCTTTTGCCTACACTGCAGCATTGCTTTGGAATTCACTGCCAGCTGACGTCAAATGTGTCGAATCACTGAACTGTTTCAAGTCCCTTCCCTTAGAACCTTTCTTCCTTTCTTAACACCAACTGTTTGTAATGTCATGTATACATTGTACATATATGTACCCTTTTTGTAGCGCCTTGACCTATCATTGAATGCACGGATACAGGCGCAGTTATAAATACCAACTATTTTGTTTTTTCCACAAAACATACACAATCCTGATGAATTGTTATCAAGCATAAAGGAATATTCATTCCTCAGGAATGTTTTTTAAGACGTCATGCCATCCAGATTTACATTATGGACGAGTTGCTCATTTCATTAGACGATTTTTTTTTCAACTGACTGACTGACTGAGTTTAGTTTTACGCCGCTTTTAGCAATATTCCAGCAATATCACGGCGGGGGACACCAGAAATGGGCTTAACATATTGTGCCCATGTGGGGAATCAAACCCGGGTCTTCGGCGTGACGAGCCAATTGTTTTTTCAAAGAGTGTACCATCCAAGCTCTTTGGTGCGATATCCTGTGCGCGGAACTCTATAGGGAGTGAAACGAAACTTTCAAAACATTTTCCCAAACTGTTTTATTCAACAATAGAAGCTTGTTTAATACAATTTGAAGAATACTGGTTTCAATTATTTACCTGTTTTACACCTACAGCAAATGAAACTAAAACAGACCAACTCACTACATCTCGGGAATTTTACAAACTAGTAGAAATAAAGCATGTTATAATTATTTTTGATAATATTGGGTATGAGATGATTGCCATATCATCGGTTATCGACTCTGTCAGGCGTAAGCGATAATTGTTAAATATATGTACTATTTATTTACGTGTATTCTAGAATATGTTCGTGAAAAGGTACGGTGGGATAGCCTTGTGGGTAAAAGCGTTCGTTCGTCACGCCGAAGACTCGGGTTCGATTCCCTACATGGGTACAATGTGTGAAGCCCAATTCTGGTGTCCCCGCCGTGATATTGCTGGAATGATGCTAAACGCGGTGTAAAACTAACCTCACTCACTCATGTTTGAAAGAGCAAAGGGAAAGCATTCGGTTTGTCGTCATTGATACAGAAGACTCATACTACCCAACTGTACATCTCACGTTCGCCATCTTACCCATCGTAAGATCTTAATTCAAACAGATCCTGTCGTGTCTTAGTTTTTGTCATAATTATAACACCTTCTCGTTTAGACAGCTCTGGGAATGGCTTAACTTAACTCGGTTTTCTCTCATTACTACCCGTGAAGGTCCGGGTTACATTTGGTCTTCAGTAACCCATGTTTGTCGTCAAGGGAGACTAACGGGATCAGATGGTCAAGCTCGAGGACTTGGCCGGCACATCGTATCCCAAGTGCAAAGATCGATGCTCATGTTGTCGATCACTGGATTGTCTGGTCCAGACTCGATTATTTACAGACCGCCGCCATCGACAGTCGAGCACCGTTGTGTCGAACTCTGATAACTCGATATCTCGGTTGTCTCATATATTATTAACATCTCGGTCCGGCAAAATCATTCATAATTTCTTATTATTCAAGCTCTTTTAACTCGATACAGATGTCTCGATATTTCGGATGTCTCGATATAATTTCATGGTTCCAACAAGCAAAATTACCCTTTGAACTCGATATTTGCAAAGAAACTCGATATTCACATACCTTTCAAATACCCCTCTGAACTGAGGTTGTTTCCACACGTGAATATTGAGACAACGGTGCTCGACTGTAGCTGGAATATTGCTGAGTGCGGCGTAAAACAACAAACAAACTACATTTTTCACCACAACAATCTAAGCGCGGCTCAGCTTCGGCTCAGTGGGTTAATGGGCCTCTATGTTAACAGTTTAGCTCATCAAGTAGAAGGTCCGGGATCGAACCCCACACACAATAATGTCTAATGTGTGTTGCCCGCATCTAGCTGACTTGGTTGACACATGTCATCCAATTGCGTAGATCGATGCTCATGCTGTTGATCACTGGATTGTCTGGTCCAGACTCGATTATTTACACACCGCCGTCATATAGCTGGAATATTGCTTAGTGCGGCGTTAAACAACAAACAAACAAACCGCCGTGATATGATAAGAATAACGCTAAATCCAAATCCATGTCACTGTAACATTTGTGTTATCGATCTGTTCCCGCCTTGAAAAAGAACGCGCTCGAGCAGTCCACAGCAACACACCGCCACACATAGCAACATCTCCCGGTCAGTCACGTAACTTGATACCATCAGCGTAGAGACCTAGTCATGGCGTCAATGACTGTGTACCAGAGTCTGTCTTACGTCGTCGCAGTCAACGTCGTAACGATAGCATGGGTGTATGTGGGTCATGTGAAATGGCTGAGCTTCCAGACACTGGCAAAGGCGATGTTCCTGCCGACAGCCATGGCGCTGTATTTCACCGACGACGTATGGTCCCTGGTTGTCCGAGTACTCGGCGTGCGCCAGGTAGGTCACGTGCCCCACCATGTTATCTATGTATGTCAACGCCTTGACTCTCTAACCACGTGCCAGGCAGTGTACCAGATCAGAGCGGATCACGTGATATGTCATCTTAGATTATTGTAGAAAGACTTGCTTAAAGTGTGCGCAAAAACTATTCATAAAAGAACTGTTTATGATTCGCAATAGTTTATATGGTATTTTCTGTACTTACGCTTTATTACGGAGATATATGAAATTACAAGTGGAATGGTTGGGGTTGACTTCGATAAGGAAATAATTACTGGTATATACAGTATACCCTGGTTATAATGACACCGTTTGTGCAGGAGGAAATATGGCATTATATCCAGGGTGGCATTATAACCAGGTAGGACAGTTAGAGGACCTGTGCAATTAACAAGGTGATTGAACTGATGCCTCCTGTAACTGGCACATAACCAGGAAAAATACTATTGTTCCAAAAACCATTGGCAAATGGCATTATATCCAGTTTGGCATTATAACCAGGGTGCACTGTACATAATACTAACTTAATCAGGTGAAGTCATATATAAATAAGCCTCTTTCTCTCGTGGTGTTATTATTTTGTGGATTCTTTCTCTCACTCTCTCTCTCTCTTTCTTAATCTCTTTCCCTCTCTGTCTCTGTCGTTCTCTCTTTCTCTGTCTTCCTCTGTCTGTGTGTGTGTCTCTCTCACTCGGTGTGTCTCTGTGTTCTCTCTCTCGTCTCTCTCTCTGTCTCTCTCACTCTCTCTCTCTCTCTCTCTCTCTCTCAAATACTCTAATACTGCAATATGGAGTACTACTTTGTACTTCGAGTGACTCTTCTTCTATCTAGCCCTTGGAAGCTGTGGCCTATTCGGCGGTAGCGGTGTACAGTGTCGCGGCCCTGGTGGGAGCTTGCGTCGTCATTGACCTCCTCATGGGATGGGCACAGCTCAGTGAGTATATGTCTTCAACAATCCAAGTCCCATATGTTGGCGTAAAACATATGTATTAGTGAGTGAATGAATGTTGATTAACGCCGCAAAGAGATCTGTTAATAATTGAGTCTGGACCAGACAACCCCGTGAATGGAACGCTGAGCAGGTAACCCCATCATCAGTGCGCGATAACAGCGGGTCTAGCCAGTCTCATCATACAGTTTAGTCGAAACGACCTCATGCATAAGCAAGTAGAATTCATACAAGTCATCAGTACATTTCGTGATCGGAATCTGTCTCTACACGCTGTCACGCCATTCGTGACCAACTCGTGTTATTCCGGGACAAGTCAAATGGAGGTTACGAAAAGGGACGAGTGTTGACAAATGGCTGTCACGCATGTCACGCAGCACTGTGTAGGAAGCGCGCTATGGCGGTGTGTGACAAATACGTCACGCTCCCAGTAGGACAAGTGATCTCGCTGTGAGGAGCTTGTATAGAAATAACGTCACTATATCGCTTGAATAAAGTAATAACTACAAGTAGCTATGGTAGGAGAAAAACAACTCTCTTACCATGACATCGTTTCGTTCAATACATAAGGTCCAATTTGTTTATATTTTTCAAGATCTGTTCAGAATCACCACTTGTAAAGGTAATACGTCATAAGTATGTTTATGTGGAAATAGCCACGGACAATATTTCGCGAAGACGTGTTTAATGAACAAAAGGTCGTTGCCATGTGCCACACTCTGACAGCAAACAACACGTGACTGATTATGAGTCAAATCACCCGTCCAAATGCTGCCAATGCGATGGTAGGCAAGGAAAATTGTTCCACTGTTTAGCGAGACCATTGCCGGAGAGTTGTTAGAGTTGCCGGAACGAAATCTGCAATTCGTTCCACGTGGGTTTGGTGTGACCTTGTTGTCCACTCCATGCGGACAACGGTCTATTGCCCTAAGTAGGTACTGACTTCCCACTCGCGATGAAGTCGTGCGTCCAAGAGGACGAAGTCCAGTCCCAGTGCACCAGCATAGGTCTCAGGTACACATATCCTTATAGCGCAAACCTGTCAAATGGCGTGATCTTCAGCCAAATCCAGACTCGTCTGCCCATGACGTCTGTCGGGTCAGTGGGATGCGAACGCATGCTTTCCAAGACAGCCTCGTGGAGAAGAATTCGTACCATCGGAGTTGAAACGTTAACGCAAGTTTCCGCAAGTCATTTGGGGTGTGGGACCAGTGTTGACGTCTTTCTGCGATAAATAGAGCCTGTTTTCCTGCTGTGTGGTGGAAAGTACGTTGTCGAATGCCTGAATGTCTGGTATCAGTTCCACGCCCTGCTGATCACACCGACACCAAGGACGTTTTCATCCTGACGCTGTGTTGGCCCAGTTTCTAGAATGCAACTGTGTTTGCTTAATTCTGCGGTTGTCTTTGACGTTGAGAGGGTTCAACTGCGTTCAGTTCTGGCAATCCTCGATGTTGTGCTACCTGATGATGATTCTCTCTTTCAGGAACCTCTTGAACATAATGCTCATGATTGGCTACTTCTGCATGATCGTCATGAAACTGAGGTCCTGTAGGGGTTATCGATACAGCTTTCTGAGAAAGGGGGTGGGGTGCACGGTTCATTTTCATGCGTTTTCAAGAGTGTCAATGGTCATTTAATATACTTTCAAGACAAAAAGGGAGATGTGCGGACCCTCTGGATCCGCCTTTGTATGAAATCATTGTTATTTCAATTTGCATTTATTAGATGAAGCATTAGTTCTCATCAAGGAAAGTTAGATTGACTCCTCCACTTCTGTGTGCCAGATCACCAGCCTGACTACCAAGCTGACGTCTTGAACGGCACATTCTTCAACGGCACCTTCTTCGGCAGCTTCCTCAGGGCGGCGGGGGAGGAAGTGGGGTGGAGATGCTTCTTGCTGCCGTCATTGATGTCCCACTTCACGCCAGGTGTCGCTCTGTTACTTAGGTACGTAACGCTCCAGGTTCGAAACGTTGAAAAATGGTACTCCGCACAAGGTCTGACGCTGTCACTGAGGTTATTTACTGTATTTACCCGAACGTACGTCACTGTGTTCCCCTGCTCTTGGTACATTAATTCGTCCCCAGCTATTACATTAATCACTGTGCTCCCCAGCGTCTAAGGTACGTCAACATTTTCTCGCTACTTGGTACGTGACTATGTTCTCTTGCTAATTGATACGTCACTGTCTTTCCCGCTGCTTGATACGTCACTGTGTTTCCCGCTCTTTCTTACGTCACTGTTTCCAGCTACTTGGTTCCTCACCGTGCCCTGCTACTTTGGGGTATAGTTTGTTATAGGACGGCGGTCTGTAAAATAATCGAGCAGTCCAGACAATCCAGTGATTGACATCATGAGCATCGATCAACGCAATTGGAGGGGAATAGAGATGCATATACTACTATGCATATGTTTATGTGTGTTAACAATTTGGTCTCAATTTTTCAGCGGTGTAGCATGGGGACTGTTTCACGTGCCCGTGTTGATACTGATGACGTCACGACTGTCACCCCCAAGGCCCCGCATCACCGTGCTCGTGCAGTGTTTATCTGTGACTTTATCAGCTTTCCCCCATGGCTGGGTGGCAATCAAGTCGGGGTAGGTCTGTCTCTGTACAACGAATGTGGGTGTAGATGGGGACACTAGAGATTCATGACGTGTGGAGAAGTGTGTGGGAGGTGTGTGTGGGGTGTGGGTGTGGGGGGTCGGTTGGATGGTATGTGACTGGTATTACTGTTTAGTTGTCTGTTTAACGCTGCACCCAGCAATATACCAGCTATATGATGGCTGTCTGTGAATAGGCGAGCCAGACAATCTAGTGACTGACACCTTCAGCATCCACCAAGTCAGCGAGCCTGACCACCCGATCCTGTTAGTCCCCTCTTACGATACGCATTGGGCGGTGAAGACCGATTCCAACCCAGATGGTCACAGGTTTGACTGGTATGAGGGATCATTTGCATGATCTGAGCCTCAAGTAGAAAGACTTGACCTAATAACATTAAACATTTAAACGATTATATTTCAATTTGTGTAAGCGATGTTTAAAGATTTTGTCTTAGATTGTTTGGAAGTTCACATCTTGGTTGTCAAAAACGTTCCTCACGGCAGGTGTACGACATCGCCTGAATTGATGGTTTCGGACAGAACTGTCTTCATGTTTGGGAACAGGGATATCTGTCGGGGTCACATCTGGAACGTGCAGCGTTTCCAGAAGCAGTTCAAAGCTACACTTGTGGATTGTAGCCATGGCACAGACTGATTTGCTTTCTGGTGCAATGAAAGATCTCACAATTTCTAAACTCCTCACGTCATTAGTTCGTTCCGGAATGACCTCACAAGAGTGCCTCTGTGACCGTTTAATGTCTGGTCTTTTGGAAGAGTGTCTACCATGATGAAACCAGAACACAGAGACCACAACGTTATCACCCGATGGGACAATATTTGCCTTCGTTTGTGGTGCTGATGTCAACGTTATCACCCGATAGGACAATATTTGCCTTCGTTTGTGGTGCTGATGTCAACGTTATCACCCGATAGGACAATATTTGCCTTCGTTTGTGGTGCTGATGTCAACGTTATCACCCGATAGGACAATATTTGCCTTCGTTTGTGGTGCTGATGTCAACGTTATCACCCGATAGGACAACAATATTTGCCTTCGTTTGCGGTGCTGATGTCAACGTTATCAATCGATAGGACAATATTTGCCTTCGTTTGTGGTGCTGATGTCAAATGCTTAGCTGATTTCATTATTGTTTTGAAATTGGCGAATTACGGTTTCATCCATTGATTCAAATCGTTGCAAGAAACTCTGATTCCGCTTTATACAGAACTAGATCAGAGTCTTTATGCCTGTTGCTTTTTCAGACATCAAAAGCCTTGGAACTAAAAGAGCTGTTAATATTTCATTACCGAAGTTGTTTTGATAATGGAATGTACAATCTTCTGGGAAACACCTACTGAAATACCAAGATGACGTTCAGTCATATAATGGTAGTATAATGCATTCTATGGATATTATCTGATGTCTGCTGCAGTCACAAACCTTCCACGATGGGGGTCCGTCTTAAGGCTTCCCTTCCACGTTTGAACTCTGTTGGCCATCTCTTCACGTTGGCACATGAAAGGTCATTTGTCCCTATAGTTCGGCATGAAATGCATGTGGACCCGTTTTTATGTAAATATCTCTTCATCCAATGACCCAATCGATCTCAAACTGTGCATGTGGATGTTTTGTCAGACAACCTAATCACATTGTAAATCACCGATTTTATGCATTTGTATTAAAGAATCTGTCTATGTAACTGTCAACAAAATCAACAGCAGACCGCAGACTGCTTGCAGAGGGAGGGAGCCAATGACCTGTAACAGCGGCAGTGTTGGGTCATAAAGGTAAATGCACGTGCAGTTCATGATAGTTACCTGTGCACTGCACAGTGATAGACCGTTTGATCATTCCCATTGACTACTTCTAGCTGTCATCATGAAAGCTTATTCAGATGATGCTAAACGTTTAAGTAGAAATGTGTTGAATTTTTTTAAAAGAGAGCAAACGTAGCAAACCGATTTATAAGGTGTCGGATTACATGAAACGTACAACTTTTGCTCTTGGCATGAAAAGAACATCGTGCTAAAAATTGTGAAAAATAAACCAACAACCAATAAACAAAACCTTGTACAAAAAAGGTAGGCATCGAAAGTTAGATTCTTTGACATCAGGGTCATCAGAGATGTCATTCGCCGGCTATTTGCTAGAAATGAACACCTCTTCATACCTGTCACGTGCATAGCTGACCTACATTGACGAACGTTGACCTTTATGACCCAACACTGCCGCTGTTACAGGCCATTGGCTCCTCTCCTCTGCAAGCAGTTTGCGTTCTGCTGTGTATTTTATTGACAGTTACATAGACAGATTCTCTAATACAAAATGCATAAAATCGGTGATTTTACAATGTGATTAGGTTGTCTGACAAAACATCCACTTGCACAGTTTGAGATCGATTGGGTCATTGGATGAAGAGATATTTACATAAAAACGGGTCCACATGCATTTCATGCCAAACTATAGTGTTGAACTCCTGTCTTTTCTCCAGGTACTTGACCACAGAACGTGCTTTTAGTTTGTCAGTTTGCCAAAGGTCACAGGACCCTGGGCAATGTTTATTTGGCTGACTTTTCAGAACGAAACGATTTGTTCAGATGGCAGTTGAAGTGTTTGTGCATGTGCCTCTATGCCAACATGAAGTGTCAACAACCAAAGATTTCACTATTACCCCAATTTCTATACGAGGTTCAGAATATGTCAATCAACCCCTCACAGTGCACGTATCTCTTCATGTGTGGTTGGGATACTCGATTTGAGATACGGTATTTGTGAATATTTCACTCTCTACACCCCGTGTTTCAGATCTCGACGTGGGTGTGTCCGTGTATGCTTCAATCCCAATTGGCGTGTCTCTGTATGCTTCAATCCGTCTGGAGGTATCTGTGAATACTTCAATGCCTGTGGGCGTCTCTGTGTATGCTTCAACCCGTGGGTGTGTCTGTGTATACTCCAATCCCTGTTTAGGTGTATGTGTATACTTCAATCCTTGTGGGTGTGTCTGTGAATACTTCACTTCCTGTGGGTGTATCTGTGTATACTTCAATCCCTGTTGAAATGTATGTGTATGCTTCAATCCTTGTGGGCGTGGATGTGTATGCTTCAACCCGTGGGTGTGTCTGTGGATACTACAATAACTGTTCGTGTGTCTGTGTATACTTCAATCCTTGTGGGTGTGTCAATGAATACTTCAACCCAAGTGGGCGTGTCTGCGTATATTTCAAACCCTGTGGGTGTGTCTGTGTATACTTCAATCCCTGTTGGCGTGTCTGCGTGTACTTCAATCCCTGTAGGCGTGTCTGCGTATATTTCAATCCCTGTGGGTGTGTCTGTGTATACTTCAATCCACGTGCGTGTGTCTGTGTATACTTCAATCCCTGTTGGCGTGTCTGTGTATACTTCAATCCCTGTTGGCGTGTCTGCGTATATTTCAATCCCCGTGCGTGTGTCTGTGTATACTTCAATCCCTGTGGGTGTGTCTGTGTATACTTCAATTCCTGTGTGTGTGTGTGTGTGTGTGTGTGTGTGTGTGTGTGTGCGTGTGTGCGCGTGTGTGTGTGTGTGTGTGTGTGTGTGTACTTCAATCCCTGTTGACGTATCTGTGTATACTTCAATCCCTGTTGAGGTGTATGTACATACTTCAGTCCTTGTGGACGTGTCTGTGTATGCTTCAACCGGTGGGTATGTCTGTGTATACTTCAATCCCTGTGCGTGTGTCTGTGTATACTTCAATCCCTGTTGGCGTATCTGTGTATAATTCAATCCCTGTTGAGATGTATGTACACACTTCAATCCTTGTGGGTGTGTCTGTGTATGCTTCAACCAGTGGGTGTCTGTGTATACTTCAATCCCTGTTGGTGTATATGCGTATACTTCATTCTCTGCTGAGGTGTATGTATATACATCAATCCAAATGGGCGTGTCTGTATACTTCAATACCTGTGGGCGTTTCTGTGTATACATCAGTCCCTGTTGGCGTTTCTGTGTATACATCAGTCCCTGTTCGTGTGTCTGTGTATACTTCAATCCCTGTGGGTGTGTCTGTGTATACTTCAATCATTGTGGGTGTGTCTGTGTATATTTCAATCCCTGTGGGTGTATCTGTGTATACTTCAATTCCTGTTTAGGTGTCTTTGTATACTTCAATCCTTGTGGGCGTGTCTGTGTTTGCTTCAACCCGTTGGTGTGTCAGTGGATACTACAATTCCTGTGGGTGTGTCTGTGTATACTTCAATCCCTGTGGGTGTGTCTGTGTATACTTCAATCCCTGTTGGCGTATCTGTGTATACTTCAATCCCTGTTGGCGTATATGTGTATGCTTCAATCGCTGTTGAGGTGTATGTACATATTTCAATCCTTGTGGGCGTGTCTGTGTATGCTTCAACCCGTGGGTGTGTCTGTGTATACTTCAGTCACTGTGGGTGTGTCTGTGTATACTTCAGTCCCTGTGGGTGTGTCTTTGTATACTTGAATCCTGTGGGCGTCTGCGTATGCTTCAATCCATGTGAGTGTGTGTTTGAATACTTGAATCACTGTGGGCGTGTATGTGTATACTTCAATCCATGTGGGCCTGTCTGTGTAGCTTCAGTCCCTGTGGGTGTGTCTTTGTATACTTGAATCCCTGTGGGCGTCTGCGTATGCTTCAATCCATGTGAGTGTGTGTTTGAATACTTGAATCACTGTGGGCGTGTATGTGTATACTTCAATCCATGTGGGCCTGTCTGTGTAGCTTCAGTCCCTGTAGGTGTGCCTTTGTATACATCAATCCCTGTAGACGTGCCTGTGTATACATCAATCCCTGTAGGCGTGTCTGTGCATGCTTCAATCGTAGGCGTGTCTGTGGATACATCAGTCCCTGTGGGCGTGTCTGTGCATGCTTCAATCCCTGTAGGTGTGTCTGTGTATACATCAATCCCTGTGGGCGTGTCTGTGCATGCTTCAATCCCTGTAGGTGTGCCTTTGTATACATCAGTCCCTGTGGGCGTGTCTGTGCATACTTCAATCCCTGTAGGTGTGCCTGTGTATACATCAATCCCTGTGGGCGTGCCTGTGTATACATCAGTCCCTGTCGGCGTGTCTGTGCATGCTTCAAATCGTAGGCGTGTCTGTGGATACATCAGTCCCTGTGGGTGTGTCTGTGCATGCTTCAATCGTAGGCGTGTCTGTGGATACATCAATCCCTGTGGGTGTGTCTGTGCATGCTTCAATCGTAGGCGTGTCTGTGTATACATCAATCCCTGTAGGCGTGTCTGTGCATGCTTCAATCGTAGGCGTGTCTGTGGATACATTAGTCCCTGTGGGTGTGTCTGTGCATACTTCAATCCTGAAGGTGTGCCTATGTATACATCAATCCCTGTAGGTGTGCCTGTGTATACATCAGTCCCTGTGGGCGTGTCTGTGCATACTCCAATCCTGTACGTGTGTCTGCGTGTACTTCAATCCCTGTGGGCGTGTCTGCGTATATTTCAATCCCTGTGGGTGTGTCTTTGTATACTTCAATCCCTGTAGACGTGCCTGTGTATACTTCAATCCCTGTAGACGTGCCTGTGTATACATCAATCCTCTGTAGGTGTGCCTGTGTATACATCAGTCCCTGTGGGTGTGTCTGTGTATACATCAGTCCCTGTGGGTGTGTCTGTGCATGCTTCAATCCCACACTTGCGTTTCTCATACTCGATATGGGTCTGTCACTCGGCATATCACTCTCCAGAGCTTGTGTTTCAGATACTCGATTTGGGCGAGTGGTCTGATGCATACACTATGGAACCAGGTGAACCCCGTCATCTTGGGCAGCATCTACACCCAAGCACCGGGTGTCGTAGTCGGTCACCAGTGGCTCATCAACGGCGAAGGGCTGGCGGGATGCATTGTCATCCTTCCTCTCGCCATTTGGATGTCGGTAACAATGTGAAGAGCAGATATAGCGCCAAGAGGATCGCAAGGTGTCTACACGGAGTGAGTGAGAGAGTTTAGTTTTACGCAGCTTTTAGCAATATTCCAGCCATATTACGCGGGGACAGCTTTTTTACCCATGTGAGGAATCGAATATTCCAGCCATATTACGGCGGGGGACAGCGGAAATAGGCTTCGCATGTTTTACCCATGTGAGGAATCGAACCCGGGTCTTCGGCTTGACGAGCGAACGCTTTAACCACTGGGCTACCCCACCGCCTCTGCGGAAATAGCGGCGTGCTAATGATTGGAGCTTTCATACCTTGGCGCTTTTTTAAGTAAAGAACCAACCATCTGTGACCAACAATAATGTTTGCATGGTAATACTTACATAAGAAGTAATAATATTTTTGTATATCGTATTTTCACATGTAAATGAACATAATATTGTGTAGCATTGTGGTAATGAGCATATATTATGTGTGTCATGTTATGTTCTGTTTTGAATCATGTTATCAAGAGGAAAATGCATTTCTTTGACATATCAAATGGCTACTGTTATTATTTTAACTACATATATGCCATAGCCATCTTTAAAAGAGGAAAAGTCCCCCGTGAAGGCGTCTACTGTGCAGTGGGTGAGTGAGTATAGTTTTAAGCCGCTTTTAGCAATATTCCAGCAATATCACGGCGGGGGACACCAGAAATGGGCTTCACATATTGTGCCCATGTGGGGAATCGAACCTGAGTCTTCGGCGTGACGAGCGAACACTTCAACCACTAGGCTACCCCACCGTTTCTACTGGGCAGAGTTAATAGGTGTAGCGTCTGTTGTTACATTTCTGACACGTTTGATCTTTATCTAAACAGGACGTGCCACGGATTTGTCACATGACATGCCATGAATGTTTGAATATAGAATATGTATTCGTGACCCGCATGTGTGTTTGAACAATGTTCTCATAATGTCCTTTTCTTTTCAAACAATATATTTTCATGACGTAAAAGTGTGTTTAAAGGATGTGTTATCTTGACACGCCTATGTGTTTGAACGATAAGTTGTGGTGACGCCAATGTGTATTTTAACATTGTGTCATGACGTCCGTGTGTGTTTGAACAATGTTTCCTGTTGCGCATACGTGTTTCAACAATATGTCATCATGACGTCCGTGCCTGCTTAAGCAATGTGTTGTCCTGATGTCCTCGTGTATATCAACAATATGTTATCCATTGTGTTTGAACAAAACAGTGCATGTGCGTTTGAGCAATGTTATCCTCACGTCCATGTGTTTGAACATGTTATCATGACGTCCATGTTTGAACATGTTAACCTCACGTGCATTTGCTTGAACATGTTATCCTCACGTCCATGTATTTGAACGTGTTATTCTGGCGTTCACGTGTTTCAACGAAATATTGTCATGACACCCACGTATACCTGAACAATACCTCATGTCGTGCATGCATGTCCGAGAACTCATTGCGTGAGTGAGGGAGTATAGTTTTACGCCGCTCTTAGCAATATCCCCGCAATATAACGGCGGAGTATACAAGAAATGGACTTCACACATTGTACCCATGTGGGGAATCGAACCCGAGTCTTCAGCGTAACGAACGGACGCTTTAACCATTAGGCTATCCCACCGTACCTTTTCAAACACGAAGATATTCTAGAATACACGTAAATAAATAAACTGCCCCTGAACAACTTATTCTGGATATGGGGTTAAAACAATGTGTTGAAAACAAGCATGTGTGTTTGGACGAAGTTTGCCAGCGTGCATTCGAGTGTGACCAAAGCGCTGACCGAGTGAACAAAGTGTTGCCCTAATGTGTGTGAGTGAGTGAGTTTGCTTTTAAGCCGCTTTTAGCAATATTCCAGCAATATCACGGCGGGGACACCAGAAATGAGCTTCACACATTGTACCCATGTGGGGAATCGAACCCGGGTCTTCGGCGTGACGAGCGAACGCTTTAACCATCAGGCTACCCCACCGCCCCCTAATGTGTGTGAACAATTAGTTTTATGGTTTATCTTTTATCCATCATCACTTCCGCGGCGATTATATTCAAACAAAATAAGTAAAGCTTGTGTTCAGAATAGAAGCGATGTACCTCCGTTGATCATTGGGTCATCCGGAATGAAACTCTTTGGGGAATCGAACCCGCGCCTTAAGCGACAATGGGGAATGCTTTAACTACCACCACGCACCCAACTTGAATTTCAAGTGGGCGGTTTGCGTCAAGTTGTGGAATGAATGGCGACATGACTCAACACGGTGACGCCATCTTAGCTCACGTTGGGTTAAGGAGTGGGGGGAGAAGGCTAATAGAATAGCTTCAACCAGAGTTTATTTATGTTTTTCTCTGACAACGCAACGAAATACAATCTTTTGTTACATATTCAGTTTTGATTATCTCACGGCATTTCTTCAGTAGAATTAAAACAGCTATGTAATCGCACTGGGGATCGAACCAGCAGCTACAACGTGACGATTGTATACCATAACCATCGAGCTATCGGTCAACTTTGCCATATTGACTTGGGGACTTTATATACAAGGTGGAGGAACGAATAATTATCTTTCGTATAGAATCCTTAATATTTGGCTGTTACCGAGTTTTACTTTCTCACAGGCTTATTCCCCCATACTGTTACGTTTCAATAGTGCCGTAACATTGCATATTATAAGATGGGCCCCCAAATATTTCCAATACCAATTTATTTCAATTCATTTCTCAATGAAATTCATCGGAGATGTTAGCAGTCTTGTACTCTCATGCGATCCTTTAACAATCACTATCCCCAAGTAAGTACATTTGGGATCACGGATTAAAATACGTCCCAATTAAACTATACTGGTCGTAAGAGGCGAGGTTATGGATTGGATTGACAGTCTCAGTGACTGGTCGATATCGTGTCATCTTAACCAGAGGTCTTGGATTGTTGTTCACAATATTAATCACTGGTCCTGCGCGATGATTTACAGGCAATAACATACAGTTAGAGTTTTGCAGAGTGCAGCGTTAAACGTTAAAACAAGAACACATTATCAACTCGAAAAGGAAATGCAGAAAAGGGTATTCCTGTTTATCCAGGCTTCCGTTAACGACGCCATAACCTCCTGAACATGTCTTAGAAGCAAAGTGTCCCATAATAAACTGTTATTAAACAACCCTTTAATACTGCAACAGATACGGAATTCGAATTTCTTCCTCCTTTTCACTTGGACTATATCACCTTTGAAATAGATCTATACAAGCGCTGATTTGTACAGGAAGCCACCGGATTTATGCATGTAGACAGGATCGGAAAATAAGCAAAACCAATACACTGTTATATTCAATATTTTAACTAACGATCGATACGTTTATTTCACGAAATAAATTAAAAGGGCAATACTTACACGAATAGAATACATTATAACTGCCAAATGTGGCGACTTCTAAATAAATCTATGAAAATAGGAGACAAGATAAAATCTTGACATGAGTGATGGCGTATAATGGCGGCCATGTCACCAGGACAAGTGGCCTGAGCTCCAAACAGGGCATGGAGGCATCGCTTAAAAATATTAAGATCAGATAAATATGACTAGTTTCTCTGGCACGTATCTCTCCTCTCATCTGAAAACAGCAGCACTGACCAGCCATGTCAAACCGTCACATGATCATCACGTGATCTGGACGAGGCTGCTAGGGGTGAGTGATTAAAAAATATGGAGACCTGTTAATGGGACGGACATAGCACAAATATAAGCAAACCAGTGATCTGTTAGAAGTTTACGTGAGGGTTTTGCGTAACTCACACCTCGGCAATGTTGACACTGAAATAAGTCCCGTTCACCGCAGAAAGCTGCGTGCACATCCCACCACCATTGGGTTAGGTGAAAACTGGGAGAGAGATGCTGCTATAGCAATCATCACTATAGCAACCGTTAATATTAATACATGATATTGCGACACCCATAACTTACGTTTCCCTCGTTGACTGATGGAATATATTTGTATTTAGCTTGATCAAAACGGATCATTTTGTTACATATAGTTAAAGCAACGTCACGTTGTCACGAAAGAGTATCATAGTCGCTTTCCAGTCCCACGCATGAGCAAAGGGGTTTAGGGAGACAGTTAGTAGGAGGAGGGGCTGGATAAACGGGTTTATTTGCTTCATCCCGGAAGAGGAAGTGTTGACAACGCCATATTCGTTGACGAGTAGAGTCAGCAGTAAAGACAGTTTCGAACCATCACCATGATAAAAGCATCGGCACCACCACCAAGTGTATGAAGGGAGTTTATTCAGGAGTATCAGCTTACTAACTACACTTAGTACAATCAGATGGGCAGGTGCCCGCAAAAATACAATCATATACGAAAATCTAGGTGACGACTCCATGACGTCAGGATTCGTGATTGCTGTCAGTAATAAAGCACAGATCTACAAAACCCAAGTAAATATACAATGCGCAGCAACCTGCGCATTTCGCATGCACTGTTGACAAATGATGATATTGCACATTAAAATAATGTAGATCCAATAGACAAGAACTGCACCCTATGAGTGCCAACATATCTAACATCTACCTGCACGACCGTGCTATAACATTATACTTCTTACTCAATAATATCGCCATTTAGTTGGTGTTTTAACACCCGCAACGACGTCAGACAGTAAAATGAGATTGCTTCAAAAATGCATCACAGTGCCCATACCCTACGAACCGTGACCCGGAACTGCTTCCTCGGCAGACGCATGGCAAGATCGCACTTCCGGTGAGACAGGCTAGACAATGGCACTTGACAATTCGCCATTACTTACTTTCTATTGTTTCCGAGTACGATACGTGTACTTATTTCAAATAGTCAAACATTGAGCAAGCTGGTAACAAATATTTGAGTTGTGCACACTAACCGAGGAAGCAATAACTGATAACATAACCTCCAGATTGGCTCACCACAGTCACTGAAGGCTCATGGAATGTTGCTGGGATAGATCCAGAATGGAAAGTTTCGTTGCACTGTCAATGTGGGCGTTATAATACTGACATCAAGAACCCAAGTTTCAGAATGAGTGAGTGAGTTTAATTTAACGCCGCTTTTAGAAATATTCCAGCAATATCACGGCGGGGACACACCAGAAATAGGCTTCACACAATGTACCTATGTGGGGAATTGAACCCGTGTCTTTGGTGTGACAAGCGGACACTTAGACAACTAGGCTTCCCACCGCCCCAGTTTCAGAATGATGTATCCCTCAAACGTTGCCTTCGTGTGTATATTAATAAATATTAATACGATACATATAACATGCAGCCTCCACATGTATGGTAAAGATATGGATATATCCCACATGTGTTCCCGTTCTTTTTCGACCTTCAATAACTGAGGTGAGCACCGACATCTCGACCCCACCTCACGTCAGCTACACAGACATTACAACTACAATAATCAGCCAGAGATATAACATTCAATCTATATGTTTGCAATATGGCAAAAAATAATAAATATGACGTAAAGGCACATTCACTGTTGTGATGAAATACATCACAAATAACTAGAAAATAATTGCAGCTGTTAAGTTTGATTTCGAGTGGAACCCTCTTGGTCTATACACATCTATGACGCAATGGCGAACATATTACCTAATCTTTGGTCCTAGGGACAGTCCAGATAGAGGGAGACTCAGCCAATGTGGTTTCTATTCATCAAATGCATAGAGTTTTATTGCGAAGTTGTACCATCAACTCCATCCTTGAAAAATAATTTGGTTCAAATCACAGATATTTTGGCGTTTCGTAAGTAAGGCACATTTCCAAAATAGGGCAATATTTTTGGAAGGGAATTTAATATGGTAAACGTATTAAAGATGGTAAATACGATCGGACATGTAGAATATTCAGTCAACTGCAGGACAAAATGACTAAATTGTTTCATCACGGAAACAAGCTTATCATGAATCCACGGTAGGGGCCAGAGAGCGGCTACTGCAGCCAGGGTGTGGTAACGTGTAAGTGACTAGATAACCAGTTGCGCAGAGGGCTTATACAAAATAAGGCCGTCGTCAAAACGCGACGTCATCAACAGACATAACAAATAACAATGACGTCATCAAAATATGTACACAACAAATCCTATACAAGTCTCTATGTACAACACTGGAGTGGTCTGTAGAAGACCGCTCGTTAAAATATTCTAAATTAATGTATATGTATATATAATTCATCTATTCAGTAACAAGATAAAACACGTTATTTTACAAATACAACAGTAATATCGACATCGAATAAATAGTTACAATTTTCATTGTCTACAAGTCGACATGATGAGGAATGCATGGTTGATAGTGTATATAAATATGAAAAGTGGTTTTAATATTTTACAACTAGAAAAATATGTGTTAAAATTTCAACACAAAATAAATAAGATCTGGTTCAGCTTATTCTCCAACATTGCGACAGTCGACACTGTACAGAAGCACAATAAATCTCTCAAATTACACAATAAAAGTACCCTTTTTAGTCTAGTAAACTAAAAGCTGGCGTTTTTTCCTTCCAGAACGGCCATATTGGCATGTGGAGGGGACGTAAAATATTACTAAAACAACGTCAAGCAGCACGATTGCCGGGCCGGGCAGAATTCATGTCACCATTTTCAGTCATAATGCGCAGGTCTGTTGTCATGGACTCCCATCACGTGGTCGTCATGCCATGAAAAGCTCTATAAAGCGGTTGCCCAAATGGCGCCTGTTTTTCTCGATGATTGCTCTTTCGCCTTCAGCACGTGACGAGAAGGTGATCAAAGCATCGCCATTTGGCTTCCCGTCAGCGCTGTGTTGGAGTTGGACCGTCTCTGGACTCACCTGAAAACAAAACCCATAAAATAAGATTCTGGAGATCAACGAAATGTTTAAATCTGCTTAAGTATGTTTACATTTGGTATGTCTATAAATTAACGCCAGGACAAGCCTTAACATATTACAAATTACTGTTATTATTATTATTATCATTATTATTTTGTGTTTATACTACTACGGGGGGGTGCAACATGCAAACAGATTTTTTTACAGTAATAAAACCAAACCAAAAATAAGGCAAGGAACAAGGGAGCAACGGAACGAAAAATTGAAATATAAACAAAACCGAAGCAATGTGTTCACATAAAGACACACAGGCTATTAATTTAACACCATACCCAACACACGCAACAAAGCTTGCCAATTCAAGTCTGCGATATCCATCTTTCAAAAATGAATCTCGCGAGACCTGTGGGTTACGCGAGATCACATGATTATCACGTGTGACACGCAGAGTTGCTATGTGATGTGTTCAGACCACCTCGGGTAATGAGAGGCGCAGGCGTTTGGGACAGGAATACCCAGTATAGACAGAACCATTACCAACAAAAATGGAGGCAAGCGAAAGATAGGCGGACTGGGATATCACTACGACACATGATCCAAAGCTGCAGGAACTCGGAGCACTTGCGGCCGACATCCCGATGTGCCGAACACAGACAATCTGGGTCTACCCGGAATCAAGGGCCCCGTATTTTGAGTAACAAGGAGAGGGCGGGTGTCCAATACCCTTGCGACCACCATCATCCAAGCAGTAACTAAAATACTGCATATACCTATCAAGTGTACATTTAACCAAAATATATCTTTAGTATGTAATGGCACGGAGAGATATGTGTGAGACATTGCTGCATGCATCAGGTTGCTCGTGTAGGGACAGTTTGTCCGTGTTCGGCAAGAGGCAGTGTAAGAGAGTTTAAATACCTCTGGGAATCCTTGGAAGTAATTGATAATGTCCTGGACGGTTACATTATAAGGCAGGCCTCTCATTACGATGACCGAGGGGCCAGTATGGGTGAGATAAGTCTGAGGGGAGACAGGGGGGCTGGGGTACCAGTAGAGGATGGGAGGGTAGAAGGACGTCGCCGGACGCTGGGGGATGTGAGTCATCGTTGGGGGAAAGGCGGCTGGCAGTGGCTGTGGCAACTGGGCATACGGCAACGTCCCCAGTGAAGGCATGATGGTCGGTGCTGTTACTAGGAAAAGGGAAAAATATAGGTGATACATTGTGATAAGGAAGTATTGTGTGTTGGATGCATTAGATGAATGGTAACAATGTTTTATAGTTGGGATATTACTTAAAGGAGTGAGTGAGTTTAGTTTTATGCCGCTTTAAGCAATATCACGGCGGGGACACCAGAAATGGGCTTCACACATTGTACCCATGTGGGGAATCAAACCCGGGTCTTCAACATGACGAGTGGATGATTTAACCATTAGGCTACCTCATGGCCGCAGAGTTTTTAAAATCCCAGGCTCGAAACTATTTAGAAATCGTAAATGTACAAGCACAGTCTGAAGCAGAAATAAGGGTTTGAAACCTGTCCGTTAGATTTCTTAAGTAGTTTACATAATGTAATGTTTTTGGATAAAAACAATGTTGGGTCAGGGTTCTGGAACACTCACCTGGTGTTATAATCTGCCTCTGTATCATCTGGGCAGGTGCTTGAGGAATGGTGGCCATTGGCATGCCATTGGTCAGAACAAGGCTCATGTCATCGCCAGAGCACTGTATGACGTCAATCAAGCGCTTCTTGTTGGCAAATGTCATAGGTCGTCGGTGTCGGTTGATGGCGGTCATGCTCGATGCTTCTTCTGAGTCCATCTGAATGAATGCCTCTCCCGATGGCTCGCCCTAAACATAGTACACAGGAATCAGATCAATGTTACACAACGAGACACTAATGACAGTATTGAGGTCGTCAAACCCATTGATACAAGGGATTAGGAGGTCTGTTTATTTAGTATTCGAGACTCACCATGAAGTGAAATATAAATGACGCGAATAACATCGTAAAATGAAATACGGTTTTAACAAACTAAAATGTACAACTGCACCTTATAATTAGAGAAACGACAGTAATTCTGAGTGAGTGAGTTGGGTTTTACGCCGCTTTTTGCAATATTCCAACAATATCATGGCAGGAGACACCAGAAATGGGCATTATACAATCTACACATATGGGAATCGAACCCGTGCCATCGTAACGAGCGAACGTCTTAACCACTAGGCTACCCCATCACTCAATGGTAATTCTGAATGTCGACTGTCCCGCACACTTTAATATTTCCTCTACACGGGGGCCTAGATTAAGCGTGTATAATAACACGGGAGTTTATATAATTATAATTAAAGGGCAGGGAGCTTTAACCTGTTACACATCAGTGACCATGCAGTTATTTATGAAGTGCAAAACCAAAGACGATTAAAATCAAATGCGTTCAAAGTGAAAGCATTAAATGTGAAAAAACTACAATGTGCGACATGCACAATTAATGCAAACGATATGAGTAAACAACGAATGATGAATTATCTCCCCTACACAGGAAGGAATAGCACCAACCTGAGCTGTATAGACCATGTGTACCCCTTGATACACAATAAACTGAGAATATTCGCCTAGGAATGTTAGAATATCTGTCACTTGTGCTATGGTAGGCAAGTTGCGCAGGCGTACGCAGTCTTTCCTTGTCCCGGCAGTAATTAGGTTTTGAGGAATGATGGTAGGCACTGTCGTTGCTTGCGCCGGAAGTTGCGCAATGAGTGGCGGAAGTTGTCCGTCTTGCTGTTCGGGGTTGCGAGGATCCATGCTCCTATTGAGAACCTGTTGAGGACATTGCACAGCTACAGTTACAGTGTTAGTGACGAACGACTCCTCCAACCAAATAAACAGACAAATTCGTTACAAAAACACAAACAAATGTTAACAACAAAACCAGATTAGTTGATTTGTGTAAAATGAATTAGAATGGTAAAAATGTTTCACGATAGAAAATAAAGAAAATGATTTCTCTTTTACCATAAACAAAATGATAGAATATGAAAATATTAATCTTTACAATTAAATGGAGATATTCTTCATGAAAAGAGTGGAAAGGAAGAGATATTTGCCAAGAGACCAAAAGCTGAGCGCGTATGTGGCGTAGATCGTCACGTGACGAGCACCTTGTCATGTAGTGTCACTAAGTGCGGTATGTTATGCTACACCCTCGTGTGTCTATATATACGTTATATAACAATACTGCTAGACATCTGGTTCAAGTGTGTACCCAACTTAACTGTATTTCAAATGGCATCAGCATACCATTTGATTTTTCTTTCCAGTATATTTCACATTTTTGAGATTTTCTTCAAAAAAGGATGACAGATCATTAACTGTATCTCAAATGGCATCAGCATACAATTCGATTTTTTCCCATTTTATTTTACTTTTTTGAGAATTTCTTCAAAAATGGATGACGATTCATGAATGATGTCTGAACAATGAAAAAATATGCGTAGTTAGACATTATTTCATCTCATTATGGTAACACTTCAAACCAAATTGTAAACAAACAGTCCCAAAACCACATTGCGAGCAAACGCCCTGTCACCACCTTTGAACCAAATATTCTAAAATACCTCAAACCACAAAATATACAAAATGCTGCTGAGGGTTAACTGACATATAAAGGGTAAGTAGGAAGCAGATGTTCGGTGTTGGGGGCTGACCCTAGGGTTGTTGTCGGTTCTTCCTCCTCAAATTAACATATCCTCCACGGGTCTTCTCTCGCGTGTCTACACTACTATGACAGTTACTCCACGTGTTATTTGTATCGGCGGCGCGAACTATCCGGAAGTGAAGCAACTTTGGGTCTCTTAAGCAGGAGAGCTACCTGCTGGACTTCCGCTGTTGTGCTCTTAAACAGCTCGATGTATCGAGTGCCCATGATCTCTCGGTGCTTCTTCAGGGCTTTGTTAGACTCGTCCTCGGACGTAAACAGAACAAAGGCATCTCCGGTAGAGCGCCCGTCAGGGTAGTGGACGAACAGGATGCCGTCCTCTCCGTCCAAAACTTGACATGGATTCGGCTCTCTCGCGAAGAACTCCAGCTGCAAGCGCAAACACAGGAAATAGCATGGCTAGTAGATGACATGGACAGTACACCGACATGCAGCACCCCCACCCGACCCCGCCCACTACTAGTGTAGACACGCCCACATCCACGCCCGAAAGGCACCACCAGTGAGAAATGGACGTCGGAAGTGAAAGAGGTAATTGAAAATAGCCAGCAACCACCCCGCACCGTCCAAATCCAAAACACCTGCAATTCGACTGGACCATTAACACCGTGGATGCGACCCACCAAACAAGAATCACCACACGCCAGGTCTGTTACTAGCCCTTCCCAAAACTTACCTCCAGGGGGAGCCCATAGGTCACGTGATCATACACAGCACTGCTGAAAATAACACAGACAGAATGATGTGGCGTGCAGCCTGTACTCTGTTGACACCATCCCAGTCACCATGACTACAGTTTATACGTGAACACTGTAATGTGTCTTCATGTGTGCATCTGAAAGTCTGTTTCACAAATAACTATTCCATCTGTCTACACCGCAAACAAATCCAAAGTGTTGGTACTCACCACTTGTTGAGAAGTCGCCGTGAACGGAAGTCCGCGCATGCGTATGATGACTTGTCCTCCCCGTGAAAGAAAAGCTTGTGCCTCTGAATTACTCCCTGTAGAAGAAATAACTCAACTGACAAAGTATTTTTTAAAACCTCCATTGGAGTATTGGTTTGGTAATCAGATCTTTTACAATTTTTCCTGTATTATACTGTCAAAGGTTTCACCACAGACATTTGGATGGATTCCATAGAGCCTATTGTTTCTTTGTTTCCTGAACGTCGCAATCAGCAATATCCCTGCCAAATGTCTGAGGTAAATAATCGAGTCTGGACTAGACAACCCAGTGATTGACAAAATGAGCATCCATCTACGTGAATCGGAAACGACATGGGTAAACCAAGTCAGCGAGCCAGACCACTGGATCCCTGTAATGGTGTCCTAAGAAGCATGAATGGCTGAAGATCAGTTCTAATCCGGATATTCACTTATATTGGATGATATTAAAACAATTTCTGTTTCATTATTGTAACCAGTAATTGCCACATACAGCTGTTATGTAAACCTTATAAGTGAGAATGTTATACGAATAATCCAAAATAACCCAGCGAATCAATCATCTTTAAAACTCGACAGGGGAGGTAACTCGTGAAACACAAAGGATCTTACCTCCTGCCACGTTGACGAAGTCTTTGCCAGTAGCCTTGTACACCTCGATGTAACGCTGCCCTATGTGATGTTTGTGACGCTTGAGCGCTAAATCACGGTGAACTTCCCCATCAAACCTCACGAGGGCTTCACCATTCCGTCGTCCCTGAGGGCTCAAGCACAGCGCCACACCTCCCCTGTAAATACACAGTATCTGTGTAGAGGCTGACTAAATCTCCTCACACTGTTGCTATTGTCGCTCACTGTTTAACATTGCCCACCACTACCACAGCGACAATGAAGACATTTACTCCTACGTGCTTATACGAACACTGTACGAGCTGTTAGATACTTTCCCCTTTTACCTTTATGTTTGTGACTGGGAGTTTGGTTTCGTTTTCATGCTGCTTTTAGCAATATTCTAGAAATATTCCAGGAGTATCACAGTCTGAGACTAGAAACGACCTTCATATACTGTACCCATGTGGGAAATTGAAACCCTCGTTGTGTTGAATTTTTACGGCGCTGTAATTTAGCATTACTCCAGCAATATCACGAGTTTTAGTTCAGTTTTACGCCGCACTCAGCACTATTCCAGCCATATGGCGGCGCAATATCACGACCCAACACAGTACCCATATGGGGAGCTGAACCCGGGTATACAGCGCGGCAAACGAACGCTTCAAACGCTAGGCCACTCCACCACCCCTCATGTTCCTGAAACACTCACCAGGTGTTATTTATCTCTCTCTGTATCATCCGCACTTTTTAAATGTCGAAGGGACCAGATACAGCTAGCGTATCAGCAACTTCATTTGTCAGATTAAAAATATTTTCCATTCAAAAGGCGCCGAAAATCATCCTTGCCATACTGATAACGGAAGTCCTGTTTAATAGAAATATCGCTTCGTGTTCGAAAACTTACTTTGCTATATTCAAGCCCTTGAAGAAACGTGCGATATCCTGGTCTGACGACTGCCATGGCAACCCACGTGCCCTGACAACCGTATTGTCGTCGACGATGTCGGTCTTGCTGCTGTGGACAGAAAGACAAGTGATGCGAGAATCCAACTTGATAAGACGTCGAACAACGCCATGAGTGGACTGGTTTTAATATTGTCATTCAGGAAAAAGAAGAATGTCGTTACTTTAGCAAACAATGGTAATTCTATTGCGCCTTATCGCTAATTCCATCTTTTATTAATTCTGGTAGAATTTCCGATGCCTTGTCTCCTGGAAACGGGAGCGCGCGCTCTGACAGAGACAATTAAATAGCCACAAGTGTCTCGCGGCAAATACCGGAAGCTGATCTATGGAAAACCACCGCTTCTTGAGAGCCCGGATATTGAACGTTATACGTCAAGACAAGTATGCGTCAATTAGTATTTAATACTGACTTAAAGAAATTAATGAACACGTATGAAAGTTACGCTTACCATATCCCCGGTTCCAGACGCTCACTGATAATTTCTGGCTCCACTAGCACGTGACCTACAAGGGAATGACGTCATTAGAACTCATGGAACACATATCACTAGTCGCACTGTTATTCAACATCAACGCAGGTAATATATACTGTAACAAAGTAATCGACCAATACATCGAGCGACCTGTCACCACTTGTCAGTTCAATAGATCCCCCCTCAGTGACTCCATTAGCCGTTCTTCTCACAAAATTAACAATATCCTGTTTCAGATGAGAATGTCCTGCTCGAGTTAGCAATAGGATACGTGTGTTAGAAGTAAACTCACTGAATGCAACCCCTTTTCCACCTTGCAGGCAGGAGTATCTTTATAAACAGTCGTTGTGCAAAGACGGTTGTCGTTAGATCTATTTGCTATCGATACCAGTAGCCCGTTGAATTCATAGCTTGTTAGTTCCGGTTTGGGACCACAGTAGTAGCTTCAAATCGTAGGAATTAACTTCAAACAAAATTTGATTCATATATACTAATCCAAAAAGTTAGGAAACGTAAATATTTGGGGAAATTTCCTATATATTTGGGGAAATATTTCGAGTTAACAGTGAAGACCTCGCAACAATTTAAAAAATACATTCCCTGAAATATATATGATTCTCTAACCTTTTCGGGTCAGTATACAATATACAGGGCTCGACAAACAAGATTTAGGGAGTATGTGTAAGTGATAATATGTTAAACAACATACTGAACTAATGTTTTTTAATATGATTGTAGTTAATCATGGATGGTTGATCATCAGCCTTCCAACCTGGCATCCTTTAACGTGGTTTCAGTTGTACATATTCCTTCGTTTAGCTTTCGGATAATGTGGGTTAATGTGCTTTTCGGAATGTTTTGAACACTGAATTAGGATAATAGCCCAAATATGTCATTCATCCATTACTCTGCCCTTTCTCCACAAATCCTGTCAATCCTAGGGAGGCTACTGGCACACCCAGGCGGTCATTATCTGCGAATACCCGGATGACGGAATCATCAAGCAGAACTAACGGTTTTTGTCAGGTGGGTAAAATGGCGGTTGAAATGCAATGTCGGGAAACACGATGCTCTGCAGGAGCATTCCCTGTGTGAGCGAGTACGCGGTTGCCGCACCGACTGCACCGCTACTGCACCGCTACTGCACTTCCCAGGTGTGCCTAAACGCTCTTGACTCCCAGGTGAACGACGAGACGCGGAAGGGTGTGCGACCACCTCGCTCGGAAGGTGTGATGTTGGGTTAGCGGCAGGGACGATGTAGGTCTCGGCTGGGAAGGGACGGGGTAAATGCTTGTTGACTTTAAGTGGGAGATAACACTCATATTTACCCACACCTGCATGGAGCCGCACGAATTAGCGCTTGTCATTTGCTACCAATTAAATGTACACCCTGAAAGGTTACGAGATATGGCGAGTGTTGACGGCGATTACGCTACCGGGCGTCGACACAAATCTAGAGGGACAACATGGCATGTGGCACTTTAACGCCGAAACCGTGACCTGAAACCCCAGTGACACAACCGGAAGTCTTACACACACAGGCATGCGCAAACCAAGCAAGATCGTGCGACGGCAGACGCTTGAGGAAGCACAGGATTAAACCCCCTCAGTGAAGCATGTCGGTGGTGAGTCATGATATGTTGCTTCTCAGAATGACCTGAATATCTTCATATAGTTAGTGCGACAGAACCCTAACAGTGAGTGAGTTTACTTTTACGCCGCACTCAGCAACATTCCAGCTATATGGCAGCTGTCTGTAAATAATCGAGTCTGGACCAGACAATCCAGTGATCAACAGTATGAGTACGCAATTGGTATACGATGACATGTGTCAACCGAGTCAGAGCCTGACCACCCGATCCCGTTAGTCGCCTCTTACGACAATCATGGGTTACCGAAGACTACTTCTATGGCGTCAAGGTGAAGCGTCATATCACAGTTCATCTTCTAAACATGGACGTATACACAGACGCCTACGTGTCACTACGTATGTCAGTCTTCTGTTGATGTGGAGTTTTAAGCCGTCGAAGGCTGTGATTGTATCAGGTAATTACACCAACAATTCTACAGTTCAATGACGTGATAGTCGTCTAGTAAAGTAACGCGATACCATACTCTCGTCAACACTCGCGAATTCTCGTAGATCGTAAACGACAATGAACTGCACTGACCTCCGTAACAACCCTCGAAATGAAAAAAACATATTGCATTAAATACACACACATCATAACAGAATAAATACGGTTATTATTCCGTTACTATGGTAACTTCATGAAAATGTATCCTGACATTATGCACTTCTCCAAAAGGTCGAAACACGTGGCCACATATATGATAAACAAATTATGCGCATTCTCGTATTCAGGAAGGAGTCGATTATCAACTCTACAACAGCTGGCGGGTTAGTAGTCACGTGATCGATTCCAAATCATGAGTATATTATGGAGAATTGTCAGAGAGGGAGCAGTGAATAAGGTCGGGACAAACTCAGTCGGTTCCACATCTGTGCCAACCGACTGGAACCTCGCCAGCTCGGACAGCGCAGCGACATCTGGTGCTCAACTATCAGCTCGCAATGAGATCAATACGCGCAGCGCCATCTTGTTTTTGAATATTAATAGATAAGCAAGTTTTATATGGCAACATGATAGATGTAGTCACTGTCACCTAGACAATATTTCCCTGACAACATATGTTTTTGTCCCAAAGATATCAAGTTTACAACCCACGCTGTCTTTCCACGTCGCATTGAAAAGTCAACAAAGATATTGCTGTAGTATTTATTATTTAATATATTGCATAGATTGAAATTGTCAATCTGAAATCAATCGGTCTTTTCAAATCCATATATTATATAGCGTTTAAGCTTGTTCATAAATGATAATCTTTTAATGGTACCCACTGGCCCCCGTTATGCGCGTCCAGTAGGATTGGGCACATGAACAGTAATTCCAAAGTCGTCGAGTAGAGAGATTTTAAAGCTGCAGAGTGAATTTATAGGTATTCAAATTCAAAAGTTATTGCTTTTCCGTGGTAACAGCTCTGCCGCGTTACCATGACAACTGATGTCGAGCTGCAGGGGTCAACCGAATGGGGTCGGGAGGTTAAAGCAGACGACAAGCTAAGAAGATGGGAGCAAGGGATTGCGGCAGAAATAAATATTTGACTAAGACTCCCTGAATTCCCCCCCCCTGTGACTACTCCATCGGCAAACACACGCGCAGCCCGAACAAATGTACACCTTCAACACCAGTTGCCCCAACGTGACTTACGTTCAAGGTCACAAGGTCTTGCGCATGCGCAAAGATGTCACAGGAGTTATAGCGGGATTCTTTTCCAAGTTGGAACATCCCCCAGAACACCTATTTTTCCACGTTCTTTGAATTAATTTTATTTGGTGCAATAAAAACAAAAAACGTGTCGTGTTGTTACGACACTCATGTACTAACAACACAACTAATTATTATACTTACCATCGTTAATGAGTCTGTGTAGGATGCTGGCCATTTCCTGGCACTGTCTGACACCATACTCCACGGACTGGTCCTCTTGGAGACCGAGGTCTGAACATGTCGTTAAGGAAATAGTATGTGGGAATGGAATGTTCCACAAGTAGGCTACAACGGATAATAAATTCGCCGCTCGTCAAAGCTTCCATAAAATTACATGACGAATCGTCATATTTTGCTGTTCACATGTCAACTAAAATAAAGCTGTTGTGTAAAAAAAAAATTAATTCACAAATATGACGTCCTGATTCTGAATGTCACTATCGTTATAATCAGTTCTAAATCATCAAGAACATTTCAGTTGTATTCCATCATCGCACAGAATAACGGGTCGAGGTGACCTGTATCACAAGGTTACAGCCATGTTACAACTATGTGTTCTTTTGCGTTATATAGGCTATCTCACGGACCCTGAACCATAGTATTTTCCCTTTAATCCAGCACTGTGTTATGCAAACGCTCTAAACGAAGCCAGTCTAGATTTCCTTAGGTTCAAACCTCCCATCTACCCGGGGCTCCTTTTCAAATATAATCGAGTTCTGTTTCTCATAAGGGTTACATATTTTCAGAGACTAAGCGTTAGTCTACTAGCATAAATATAACACCTTCATTCAAGACATTTTACTCTGGGTAGACGAAAATGAACGTTGGGCGATACTATCAGCCTACAGCATGTAAACAGCCACCTAGCCATGTAGAGACAGTGAAAGTGATGGCAATGACCAACAAAAATGAAGACCACGAAACGTTTTAACGCGGCCTGGGTCCTGACTCTAATCTGAGTCTGTTGGGTGTTTGTGAAAGATCCATATCTCGAGTTTGCTCTAAAGCGTCAACTTCCTGTACACAAACAATGGGAGAGCACAAGGAACAGTTGTGAGGACCAGTTGTAGATTGACCAGCCTCCGAATTCAGACTTAGCCAGATCAAGAATTGCATGTTTGATCAAACTTGGCCATGCTCAACTCAAACAATCGCAAAGCCCGTCAAATACTACCCCGAGACATTAAGAGCTAGACTTGGCCTCCAAGGTCACCTCGCCTCCTCTTCACAGCCGGCTGCCATCACGGACTTTTTGAAACAAATGCAAGAAATCCCCTCAAATTCAGGTTATGAATACCGTTAAATACTGAGATTTTTAAACATTTCAATTTCAGGCGATTAGCAATAGACGATAATACCATCCCTTAACATGATGTAATAATAAGTGTTAAACACACAGCTGGGTGAGACAAACGATGGAAACAAGAGCCGATTTATTATGCAACGTCCTAAAAGAACCAAATGAAATTATCAAAAGGGAGTTCATGTGTTTAGATGAATTAAGGAGTGTCAGCTTAATATCGGAGAAATGTGCTACATCCAACACGGTAGAACACAGAATAGCATGATTAGTTTACTTTGAACGAGGGTCATGCTTTTCAAGTGAGTGAGTGAGTGAGGTTTTACGCCGCTTTTAACAATAGTCCAGTAATATCACGGCGGGGGACACCAGAAATGGACATCACACATTGTACCCATGTGGGGAATCGAATCCGGGGAACGCTTTAACCACTAGGCTACCCCACCGCCCCCTGAACATCTGAACCATCCCAATAACTTATAAACGCATCTAAAGACAACCATACATTACTTGGGAACTATCCCAGCATGTCTCCTAGATTGATATTAATCTCATCTTAAATGGCAATGCAGGTCTCTCGCTTAGCGAAAATCAGAATGTTTTTAAAAGTGTACATATCTACATCCATAACACTAAACGATTTAAATAACTCTGTCTGTACATATCTATACCCTTTGTCTGCCTCTTGTTGAACTTTTTTGTAATATACACTTGTAACTATGTGGAGAGGGCTTATTTAAGTTGGATAACTTGTGCCCAATCCGTTTCTTAATTGAATAAAATATGTTTCAATCAGTCTCCTAGATGCAACTATGCAGAGTGATTCCGACGACAGCCGACTGAGCGCCTCCCCCGGGACACGTGTCACCATTACCAGCAGGTGGGGGTCGGGGGGATAATACGCTGTTGTGGATATCTTACATCAATTTCTCATTTCAAGATTATCGCATGCTGCCCTATTATTTGGCAATACCGAAAGTAAATACACTTAGTAAATATCTCACTTAAGCAGATATTCCTATTTGCCCACAAACTGTGGGGATTACACTAGAGCCAGTATGATATTTCTAATCGGATCAACAGGTTATGGAGGAGACTAGGCGTTGCGGGCAATAAACGGGGGACGTATTGACGTAGGAGGGGTACGCATTGACGGGGGTAGGCGATTGTTGAGTTGTGTACATTCATGTCAGAATTATTAGCCAACTACCTGATTGCTCAGCACTTCTCTGTCTCTCATCATTACAGATAAGAGACAAGGAACCGCTTCCTTAGAAGAGTGTATGGGACAGATCCACTAAACGCCCAACGCTGTTGCATATAGTCAGTTAATCCCTGTTACACGACCTACTATTATCCACGTCAATAGTGTTCACATGTATGTAGTTGAATGGCGAATGGTAAGTGCTATACAGCACACTGTATACTGTACACACAAATATACTGCTGTACGAGTTGCCGACACCTCCAAGCCGGGGCTACTGCTAATTGATACACTGTTGTACACGGGGGAGCGTATTGTCGGCCATTCAGCGGCGTTCTCAACACAGGGGAAATAGACAGCGACCGACCCTCAGCTGAGCGGGTCATGCCTCGCTGAACCGTTGTGTTGTGATCACTGGTCCGGGTAGATCGTTGTGTACGGGTGGATACCGGGGAGGGTAGCTGGTGGGGGTGGTTATGTGATTCTGTACAGTGGTGACCGGTATTGTGTCTATGGACAATCCTCATTGGTGTAGTGAAGTGTTTGTACCATACTCGGCGTTGGATTCCGAAAGGGTTCCCGGCAACGTAAAGGTTGATGATCCTCAGAGGCGATATAATGGATCTGTCAAGAGGCTCAGGGACTTGGTTCACAGCGTCACATCGTACTCCCACGAGGTGTATAGTTGCTCAGAATATCAATCACTGGATTGTCTGCTTTAAGATTTGGACTATTTACTGGCCTCAACCTATTAGCTCGAACAGCGATTGCCTCTAACGACCTCTTACGAAACAGGGGTCCTATTTTAACCCGGAATCCCCATGGGATGTGCCAGTTGTTTGGCTGCTTCAGGCTCATGGTGACTTGCCTCTCCCGTGACGACACAATTGTCACATAATTAAACAGTACATGTGATGTACATTGATGTAACACACAAACATACAGGTCAAATTATTTTTCAATATTTAAGGTAAAACAAATGATTCGCTGTGGTGGAGTATGACTATGAACCCCTAAAGCAGCCCACAAGAGCACTCCATGCTTAGATCGTGAATGCATGCGTAGATCAAACACCACGTGTTGCCACGGGACGCCCGAACAATGTGGACGTTATACCTCACTGGTTTCATGCTCAACGTAACCGTTTCATGACATTGATATCATCTCCCTGCATGCAACTATTAAAATAGGCCTTCTACCGTGATTCTGTTGCCATGACAACAAACCCTCGGCCCCCGATACATATAGGCTAAATACAGTTGTACAATTCAAGCATGAAACGTGTCCTTACTAATGACATGTTAATGAAATGCAAATATTATGCAATGTGAAAGTACGCTCGACGACAGTGACGTAGGACGTATATACTGTCGTAAAATACTTGTGTGCCCTCTGGATTGTGAGGCGACATTTGCATGACATCGTGTCATATTTAGGAATTTTAGACTGCAGCACCCTGCCTTGGTAAGCAAATAAAACATGCAGATATCGCAGCATGCCGTAAATCGGCGGGACGGGTGGTGCCGCAATGTGGTCTTTAGACTGTGTCGTAAAGGTGCCAACCCGCATTCATTTCAGACTTTCCAACAAACTTGAACACAATCCGAAGTCAAACGTTACAGTGCAACAAAACGAGATATACATCTGATATCCAATCATGCATAAAATCGTTCATTAAAGCGTTTGTCTAAAGATTGGCGATTAAGTTTGGCCGGCGGTTAGAATACGGTTATTGTGTGAGACGAGCCTGAAGGTATGGCAATGCGTTGACAATAGGGCTATATATAACCATCACACGTCAGTGGAATCGCGCACCTGCTGTGCCCTTCAATTTTCTATCTATAGCCGACATCGAGATAAACAAGATTGTCCAGATACCGGTACAGACTGCTTGTGCCATTATGACGCAACCCCTGCTAAAATAAGTGCAATTCCGACATTCCTAGCAACAAAGCATCTTTATCGACACATAGTTTGATGTTTTCGATGCGGTGCAAGTGTCAGAAGTTTCTGTTAATCACTGAGGCACTATATCGTTCATTCGTTGCTGTTGCAAACCATAAACATTGACTAGAAAGAGGTTGCTCGCCCATCCTTCAAATCCAAGACAGCCATTAACCCCGAATACCGTGGACGTCGTACACCACACCAGCAAAAACAACCAAGACGTTACGCATGGATATCTCACCAACACCCCGAGGGGGCACAGTGTCACGTGACCTAGATGTGCGTTGCCTGGGGCGAGGGAGACGGGCATCATCATCCATCACCCACAGCATGAGGAGTCGCCGTACCCCTGAGTCAAACACATCGCAAATCAGTCCAATGTGACAACCGTTACCTTTAACTGAGGAAGACGTTGATCTGTCATAATCTCCTACTGGCGAGATAACTCGCCCGGATCAATCACATCAGTCACCATAAACCTGTCATTTAGGGGACGTCTACAACTACTTCCTCTCTGCTCTCTGCAACAACTACCGCTACTTGAAGTAAGGTCAAGTCGGGATGCATGGTGTATCTTACACAAGTCTTAACAAGTGAGCTGTCGATGTGTTATTGCTGCCATGTGCAACATGTTGAATAGCAGATTTGAGTGAGTGAAGAAAATGTGCCGAGCGCCGCCACAATCTTCAACAACATCGCCTATGTCACGTCGGAAAACATTAGCCCATATAAAGAAACGGCATTTATGCACCATTCTCGGGCTCTGGAGAATATAACTAC